AATATGATAATTTGTTTTTTACCCTTCTATCTGGCAACAAAACTGACACCTTTTTTACAAGGAGTCATGTTTACATAGACCACAATACCTGCAGTCATAATGCAAACAAAAAAACATAACTCTGATAATGTGCACTGTCCTTGAAGTTGATTGGTCCACACCCCAGACAGCTTTCCTTAGAGCCTTTTGGCGTCATCTGGTCCAACCCATGTGAGACTAGGCTCTAAGGAAAGCTGTCTCGGTTGTGGACCAATCAACTTCAAGGACAGTGCACATTATCAGAGTTGTGTCTTTTGTTTGCATTATGACTGCAGGTATTGTGGTCTATGTAAACATGACTCCTTGTAAAAAAGGTGTCAGTTTTGTTGCCAGATAGAAGGGTAAAAAACCAATTATAATACGCAGAACGTTTTAATGAACGTGGCTAAAACGGACAGCATGTTGAGGGGGGCCGGCGAGTTTGCAGGCATCGAGCTTCTGTTTACCCTACGTGGTGGAAGATGTTTCTCTCATCAGGCGTGGCCATTAGCATGTGAAAGGAGAGCTCTGGACAGAGAAGGGAATACATATGCCTGCGCTACCGGCGCGCGTTGACAAAACATTGCCGTTGCTCGCAAGTGGCGGCAAGATGTTTGTCGGCGCGCTGTCGGTTTCCTCTGTGTGCGTCGTCGAGAGTTTGAAACGTCGCGTTTAATTAATTTGCGTGTGTTTTGACGAAAATTTTACCCCCCCGCCGCCCCCCCCACCCCCACTTCATCCCCTCCCATTAACGCAACACTGGGGGGGGGGGGGGCACGATCAGCTAAGCCATGCTGAGTCTCGAAAAGAGATCCAGCCGCTAATCTCCTGACCCCCGCTCCCCCCCCCCCCGCAACCTCCCTAGGGAATGGTCTGCCCCGCCGTGCAATTCAATGAGGCTATTCTCTGACAGGTATCGGTCACACCGATCATACTGCTTCATGGAGGGGGGGGGCAGGAGGGATGGTGGGCGGTGGGGGGGGGGGCATTCCAGGCAGTTCAACAAGAGGAGGTGAACTGCCGCGTGTGCGAAAGGTGTGAGGATCCGGACCAACCTCTGCGGTCATCGCTATCGGCCAGTTTGATGGAATATTAACGGTGCTGTCACCGTGCCCCCCCCCCCTGTCCGGTCCCCCCATGCCCCCCCCCCCCCCCCAGCGTCTTTCATTGACCTGGGATCTGCCTTGATTAGGGCCCTCCAGTGGTGTTTTTTTGTTTTTCCCAGCCCACCCCCACCCTCCCCGCGGCCCCAGTTGCCATGGCAGCTAATCTACACGCTATTGAACTATTGAGATGGAGAGGCAGTTTGGGCCCACAGCAAAGGCACGTTTAGGCGTCGGGAGTAATTAAAAAATAGAGCGAGTTGTGTGTTTATTTGGATTTGTGCGAGCTTCGCCCAGTGGCTGTCATCGGACAGATGGGGGGGCCTGCGTGTGCGCATCGGGGCTGTTGCGGAGGCTCCCCGGGTACAGAGGGCTCCGCTCGCGCTCAACAAACGGCACATTTGTGTCGTGGGCGTGCGATTCTCCAGTCCAGTTTTGCTCTGGAATCGTGAATTAATTGGGTCACAGTATAAGCTATTGAAACTACTTTTCTTTTTATCAAGCAAAGGTCCACTGGGCGCTGTGTAGCTCTTTCTTTGAGAAGCGACGTGGCCACAAATTAGATCTCAATGAAGTGGCTAATCACGTGGAAATTTATAGCAGCCAAATACTCCAACGCATCTTCTTAGTTATTTCGGTAAAGTCACGTAGAAGGGAAATAATAAAATAATAGAAATAAAACATAATAAAATAATTCTCACGACGTTTCGGCCACAACGCAAGCAGCCGTCCTCAGGTGAAGAACAGGTCTGTCGGAAAGACAGCATCTGAATGAATGTCTGTCGGAAAGACAGCGTCTGAATTCTTTCCAACAGACCTGTTCTTCACCTGAGGACGGCTGCTTGCGTTGTGGCCGAAACGTTGTGAGAATTATTTTATTATGTTTTATTTTTATTATTTCCCTTCTACGTGACTTTACCGAAAGAACCAAGAAGATGAATCGCTGCAGTCACGAAAGCTTTAAATCGAAACTCCAACGCATGTTTCCAAATGTGGAGGGGAAAACCAGAGGACCGAGAGAAATATCCACGTGACCACGGGGAGAACATGAAAACTCCAAATATACAACAGGCGTCAGTGTTGGGATCGAACCCACGACTTCCTGTATACCAGGCGAGGAAGTTAACATCCCGCCACCGTGGCGCCCACAATATACCGTCATCATATTTTTTCATCAGTCATGTCCAAGCCACTGCTGGATGCAATGCCTCCCCAAGTAATTTGTTAACTTCTCGCACGGTGCTACGGTACAAACAATCCGCCCCTACCACCTGCTCACGAGCTGATTTCATCACTCCATCTCTCCTGCCGGACATCCTCTGGAACGCGCTTTGACCCCGCTCGGTCATTAACCTTGACCGTCGGCCGTCGTCGTCCCTCGAGGCAACGTGCCCTGCCCCCCCAGCCCCCTTCTCTTGGCCGTTATGAATTCTCTTCAACCTCCGTAATGTGCTCTCTGATCTACGGCTTTGTTCGGTGATCCAACGGCTGACCTCCGATAACGACTGCACGACGGCGTTGCGCGGCAAACGTTTGTTTAGAGCGTTGCTGTCCGGTTGTATTCCGGTTGAGTTGCTATCGGTGTTGCGCTATCAGCGGGCCGAGGCGTCCGATGGGAGCCTTACGCCCATGAGTGGTGGCATCTCCCCCCAGAGAGAGAACTTTGCCCTCCACTCAGGAGGAGGTTGAGGCGCCCTCTAACATTCTCACTTTTCTTCCTCTTCACCGTCATGATTTATCGTCTTTTTCCCCACATTCCAGTTGTGTTGTTTTCCGTGTCGTGTTACAAGATGGGAATTGTCCATTCGCAACTATCGCAGGTGGAGGTGTATCACCCAAAGTTACAAAACGGCCCCCGAAAGGAGATATCAGAGAACTACTTCTGAGATCCATCCTCAAGTCACCTCGTTTAGCCACACACTAGGAGGCTGCTATACTATTCCCCATGTGACCTATGAGTGAATGCCCATTGCATGACAGTGAAATGTCGACGCGCCGCCGGTTTCCTCTGTGCCCCGGCGGTTGGTAGCCCCGGCAGTTGGTCGGCCCTCGCAGTCGGTTGGGGTGGTGGGTTGGTGCTGGCGGTTGGTTGGGGTGGTGGGTTTGTGCTGGCGGTTGGTTGGGGCTTTTTATCAGCCCTGGCGGTCGGTTGGTGTTGTTGGTTGTCCCTGGCGATTGTTTGGGGTGGTTTGTTGGCCCTGGCGGTCGGTCGGGGTGGTTGGTCGGCCCTGGCGGTCGGTCGGTGTGGTTGGTCGTCCCTGGCGATTGTTTGGGGCGGTTTGTCGGTTGATGTGGTTTGTTGGCCCTGGCGGTCGGTCGATGTGGTTGGTCGGCCCTGGCGGTCGGTCGGGGTGGTTGGTTGGCTCTGGCGGTCGGTTGGGCAGTAAGATGACTGTGAAAGGTAATGCTTAATAAAGGGGACCCGGTGATGGATATTGTATTGGGTTGCGGGGCCACACGTCATTGGTTGTTTTGTGACGGCGCTGTTTAATTAAGGGCTCCATGATTGGAGCCATTGTCCTCTCGGGAATTTGATTGACCGCTCCGAGCTCCCGCTAAAGTCCATTTCCCTCGATTTAAGTCCCTAAACGTCATCAGGCCTTCCAGGTGCCCTTCAATTAATATCCGCGACTTAACATAAGATTTCAACATCGTGGTTCTGCATGCCCCCCAGAATTTGAACAACTTTATTAAACCAGAAAAGCCTCACTAAGTCTCGGACTGTTTCACCAGGGTCCTGCAGTGGGACTTTTGGCGACCTTACGTCTTTAGGGGTGTGTGGTGCAAAAGAACTCCCGCAAAGAACGGCTCTCCGATACGCTTTCCGGGTCGTGACGCGACACGTGGTTAGGCGCGACGTCCGACGTTTCGCTCCACGTGGCTGTGGAAGGGAGGGGCGGGGGGGGGGGTGCTCCTTCGGCAACCAGATGCCGAGCACGCTGCAGAGCCACCCGGCACAACCGCGGGGAAAATCCGCACGGCAGCCGCGGCAACCGAACGTGCAATGCTTCCGTTCAGTTCGTTGGATCTCTGATCCCGTGGAATGCGGCCCAGAGAGCGGTTCTCCTCGGTAAAGAGGATGGCCGTGCGGGGAACGTTGCAAATTATTTTGATGAAGAGCGAGAGAGAGAGAGAAGAGAGGTGGAGGATGAGGAAAATGTGGGAAGAAGGCAAGAGTGACTTTGCACGCGCAGGTTTGTGAGCCGGGTATAATTGTTTGCAGCCGCGGGCTGCTGCTGCTGCTGCCTGGACGTGGGGTGGATTTACCAGGCGCCTGGGCCTCCAGCAGCACGGCTTTGGGAGGCAAGGGATTTGGGGGAGGGGGGTTACGGCGGTGGGGGGAAAGATGGTGGTGAGCAGGAGGGATTGGGTTGGGGATAAATAAGAATGGGTGCATTGTTATTGCCTGCCGTCAGCAGCACCGGCAGCGTATCGGTTCTATCTGTCAGACTGCCTGCGAGTTTTAGTCCTGGCGTTGACACAAGTCTAGAACAAGCCGGGAACAGTGCTGGCATTTTTCGCGATTAATTTCTGCTCCCCTCCCCTGCCATATGGCCATATTGTGTTATTATCGTGGTTGGGTGAGTGGGAGCAGTGAGCAGGTTGGTGAGTAGGTGCGTGGGTTGTTGTAACCTGCAATGTGGTGAGCAGTGAGTAGGTTGGTGGGTGGGTGGGTTATTTTGACCTGCAGTGTGGTGAGCAGTGAGTAGGTTGGTGGGTGGGTGGGTTGTCTTGACCTGCATTTTGGTGAGTAGTGGGTGAGTGAGCTTCGTGAGTGGACGGCACAGGCGGTCTGAACACGGAACGCAAATCAAGACGGGGCTTCCAGCTTTTGTTGACGTGTCTCTCTTCTCTCCGTGTCTCTCTTGTCTTCGGCAGAAGGTGTACAGCTCGTTCGCTTACACGGAGCGGATGTCCAACGGAGAGACCGAGGTGCAGCAGGTAACACCGGCGCCACCGCCACCACGGCCGTGCCGTCTGCGTAGCGATCGCACACAGCCCCCGTCGGCCCCTTGCGCGCAATAATTACGCCCGTCCGCCACAGCTGATTAATGTAACTGAGAGCTCAGCTTTCCCTACAGCCCCCCCCCCCCCCCACATATACCCCCCCCCCCCCCCGCCCACATATACCCCCCACCCACGACTTTCTCCAGAAAGCACATTCTGATCCAAAGTACGCACTTCCTCCCGTCCCGAGCGCCGTTTGCCGCTCGCCCCGTTCCAGTTGACGAGGCCGGTGTCTGCCCAGCGCCGTTTCTGGTGACGCGGCCCCGTTCCAGTTTTCGTTCGTCACGATGTGACTGTTGTTCGCGACGCCGCTTTCTCGCGCCGCTGGGGCTGCATTTCGAATTCGCGTTGCTCATTGCCTTTGTGGCTTCAAGTCGCGGTAGATGAGTCTCTCAAAAAATGCCCGCGTTGAGCGAAGAACTACTGGACCTGCACGGACGGATGGAAAAGCTAGCTGTTTTGTCGCATCATCCGTTACGAAAATAAATATTTCCTTAGCAGCGTCGTATCGGGCGACCCTAACGAGCGCCCCCGGGCTGCAACGCGCGGGCGAGAGAGCTCGTCCTCCTCACCGCTGAGTAGGGGGGGGGGGGGTGGGGGGGAGGTGTCCCGGGTAAGAGCCACCATCAGCAGCACAAGAATGCCAACTTGTGGCGGCCATCTGTTGGGCGCTGATGGCCAGTGGCGGTGGATCCCCGGCCCGCCTCCCCTTTGCCCCGATGAGAGCGTTTGCGCCGCTCTTCGCCAACTTCCCCAAGGGAAACTTTACGGCGGCCGAGATTGGCCCTTGCCATGATGGGTTTCTTTTATTATTTGAACTCGTGACACCCCCTGTGACGTTCCCTCTCTCCTTCTCAATGCAAGCACAAACGGGACCCACCCCCCCACTCACCCCCTCTGCTGCCTCCCACGACGCTCACGATTAGTTTGCGGTTTGCGTTGCGCGTTATTCAGTTTTGCTTTGCACTAGGAGACTCGGATCTTACGGAGAAGGGACAATGGCTATAAACATTTGGCAATTCATCACCAGCATTGGTTCAAGCAGGCGGGACTCTGGATGAGAGACGCTGAATGTCCAGAGAGGCTCCAGAGTTTGCCTGTATTGAAACCATTGCATCTGGAATGATGCAATCTCCCCAAAGGCACCGTGTGGCTGGTGGGAGGTGTGAAAATAAATTTTTCAAATGTTTATGCGGAGGGACAGATGTGTGAAGGAGGCACCACAGATTTCCCGTGTAAAATATCCGGCCTACTGCCTAAACGGGACCGTCTGTGTAACAAATAAAAAAGAAACTCAAACTCCTGCTACTTACTTTTGCCACAGCAGACCGTCTCTTCTCCACGCCCGGGCCGCCCCTGTGACTACTAAAATCTGCCTCTCTCCCGGCTCGCCTCCGTAGCTCGCCAAACGTCTGCGTGAGAAGTTCTCGCGCTACATGGACGTGGTGAGCCGCAACAAGCAGGTGGTGGAGGCGGCCTACACTGCTCACCTGAGCTCACCGCTCACCACGTCGCAAGACTGCTGCAACCTCCCGGCCTCCATGCTCACGTGAGGGCACGCACGCTCACAAGCACGCTCACTCGCTCGCTCACTTGCTCACTGTGCACCGTGTTCATCTTCATGGGCCATTATCAATCCACTGCTGGATGCAGGCCTCCCCAAGCCACCGCTGCCACCTCTCGCAATCCCACAATGCAGCAGGCCATCCGGCGCGTGGACCACAACGCATCCGTAGAGCGAACCGATTCTCGAATCGCCTCCTGGCCTCCCAAATCGAACAACCTTTAAGGGGAGGAAAATCATCCCCGGGGTTTAATCACTACCGAGGCCCGCACAGCCGGTAACTTTCAGCAAAAATTCCTTCGTCTGCTCCAGCTACCCCGACCGCCCCCCTCAACCAGCGCCAGCCCCGCCTTCCGAGGATCTTTGCCATCTTCGCCCGAGGGGTCGTCTCGCTGTGCGAGAGCAGCAAGAGCCGCCTCTGTGTCTGCGACATCTCGGTATTGAGCGAGAGATCGTTTCATTATAATTGTTCACCACTTCCTCTAACAGTGCAATAGCCGCGGGACGAAAGCGGCTTACACTCCACTCACCCACCGCTTACACTCCGCTCACACTCCGCTTACACTCCGCTTACACTCCACTCACCCGCTGCTCACCCGCTACTCACCCTCCACTCACCCGCCGCTCGCCCTCTGCTTACACTTCGCTTACACTCCACTCACCTGCCGCTCACCCGCCGCTCACCCTCCGCTCACACTCCGCTCACACTCCGCTTACACTCCGCTCATCCTCCGCTCACTCGCCGCTCACTCTCCGCTCACCCTCCACTCACTCGCCGCTCACCCGCCGCCCACCCTCCACTCGCACCCGGCAAGCTTCGGGAAGAGCAAACTGTTTGGGAGTTAGAAGCGCGTAGGTTTTGATGGTTACACGGTTGTATGGCTCTCTGGCGTTTTTTTTTTCGGGGAGTACCTAATGTTGTGCGGATGTCGGCGCGGCGTCCGACGTTCCGCCCCCGCTTGCCGGCCCGCTGGCTGCCAGAAATGGGGAAGCAGCTCCCCGGTGTTCGGAGCAACCCGATGAGACCACCGTGGTGGCGGTTGGCGCCGGCTCGCACAGTTGCGGTGGTGGCGGCGGTGGAGGTGCGATGGCAAATTTGTCTCTGCCCGTTTTGGGTTTCGCCCCTGGTCCCACCGAGCCTCCCAATCGCCCCCTGCACTCGCCGGCTCTCCTCGAGGGCCACGCTCGCTCGCTGCCACGGAGCAGAGCCCCATCGTGTCCGCCCCCCTCCCCCACCTCCCAGTACGACGACTGGGTCGAGATCGGCGCGCGGCACCGCAGAGCTGGACGGCGGAGCAACCGCTTAGGCTTGCGGGCCTGGCACGAGGTGGCACGCGGTGGGAGGATAAAGCCGCCACCACCACCCCCCTCCGTCGCTGATGTTTGGTGGTGACATCACCTCCTGTGGGCTCGGGAATTTGGCCACAGAGCAAACAACCGGAGTACCGGGTGGTGGAGGGGGAAGTGTGGGTGGGCAGGGTGCGGGCGGGGGGGGGGGCCTCACTCGACAGGCTCTTCGGGTTTTTGTTCCGCCTACTCGAGCGTTCATCATTTATCTTCCAAACAAACAATCCTCCTCCGCGCCAGCGAGCGGTGGATGTGGAAGAAGTAGTAAAACAAGTGAAGGGTAGCGCCGGCCGAGAGGAGTCTCGGGAGACGTCGCTGGTTTTTACGATGAAGGCCCAAAGTGGGGACGCATGCGGTGTTGCAGCCTTGTCAATCCACTGCTGGATGAAGGCATCTTCCCACGCCTGTAAACCGCCGAGCGGCGGAATAGGGCGCTCGCCCTTGGGCTTGCCACGAAGGACCGATGCGTCGCTTGCCAGGGGGTGCACGCGACGCATCGGCCCGTCGGTCACTCCGACTCCCAAGCCGAACCGCGCACGCGTGGACTCGCTCGACGCGTGCGCGTTTCGGAGTCGCCGCTGTGTAAATTGGCTCCCTTGAACCGTGCCGCCGCTGGAGGGTGCGCTGTCGCTCGCCACGGGGCGAAAGAGTAACCGATTCGTGAGTGGAATCAAATTGCAGCCCTGCAAGTGCTTGCTGCCGGTAAGGGTCTCCACGAGAGAGAGAGAGAGAGTGAGGGGGTGCTCTGTCTACTCTTCCTCGCTCGCCCAGACGTCTTGCAAAGTGTGGCTTCCCCCCCCCCCCCCGCCTCTTCCAGGACGTCTGGCCAGCGTCGAAGATTGAGCCAAATACCCTCTTAGAGGTCCCTGTCTTTATTGGGGAGGCCCCTTCCTCCAATAGTGGCACAAGCCAGCAGTTGCGAGGCTGCATCTTTACCTTTATCCTCGGGGAGAGGTGATATTACCACGGTGTGGGGGGGGGGGGTGTGGGGGGGGTTTAAGAAACTCACCTCAACGTTTCAACGTCCGCGCCGGGTTCGCGAGCCTAGCGTGCTGACACACTAACCCAGCGTCCCCACGGAGCGTGCAGAAGCATCGCTCCTCCCCGGTGAGTCTCGCCGGCAAGACTCCGGGCAAATTACATTTCGTGAGGATTCTCTTACGCTCCTTGACAGTTTGGATTTTCGGGCTTTGGGAAGCACAGGATCGGTGGTGGGGGGGGGGAACGAAGAGCGAATTTTTTTTTATGCTTTCACGACGTTTATTAAGTTTGAGGTTTTGCCAGACGAGGTTACGGTTTTGCCAGACGAGGTTACTTTTTTTTTTCCGTGGAGTTCAGCAGTGTGTATTCTTGCTTAATGGTGAAAAAGCACAGACTGTTATTTTTTGGTATTTATTTAACGATGCTCCCTGCGTTTACCGCGGGGGGCTTTCGCGGTCGCGCCGCTGTACGGCTCTCCCGGCGCGTTTCTTGTTTTCGGTTTCGCGCCGCGTGCCGTTTGGCACGATGTCCGACGTTTCGCTCCACGCGCCGCCAGCTTCGTCAAGAGCGCTGAACTAGAGCGGCTCTCGTTATCCTTCGGCATTTACGCTGCGGCTAGCCACTGCCAGCTCCGGATGCCGATTGCACTCGAGGGAGAAAGGTGAGCCCCTCTCGGTTCCAGTTCCTGGAGCGAAACGTCGGACATCATGACGATGTCCGAACAGCACGCTGCAGCTCGTTGCCACTGACAAGCGACGGGGGGTGGTGTGGGTCAATGTCCATCCCTGATTTGGGCTGCTCCTAGCCCCACTGTGGCTCCATCTCTCACCCCACCACCCCTTCTCCCTCACCGATTCCACTTGGCCACTCGCACTGCCACCAGCTGCTGCGCGGGCTCGTGTCCTTCCCTCCTTCCCCGCAAAAATAACAAAAATTAAACGCGCTTTAAAAAGTATATACTTAATCATAAACCCGAGGTCTGGAAATGATGGTGAGACGAACCAGGTCCCGGAGAGAGCCCGCGGGGATGGCGAGATATTAGGGATTCCGTTTCGGGGCCCAGCAGAGTCCCGTTTGTTCGTCTGGGAAAGCCTCTCCCCCCTCCCCGAGTCTCCGTTCCACTCAAGTTCAATTTATTAGGTATATAGCCCTGTGAGCCATTAGGCTCTTGAATCGGGTGCAACCGCAACAAACAAAAAACAAAAAGATGAACAAAAAACATCTTAAAGTAAATATGTGACTAAGTGCAAACAGAAAATCCAAGAAAAGACAGCAAAATATTGCAGAAAAACACCGCACACCAACGCTGTGTGCAAAAATCCCAGTGGGATGCAAGTCAAACAACAACAACAACCACAAGACAACTTAGAATTAAGGCCATAAGTCTAACTCTGTACTAGAACAAACAAACATGGGAGAGTTTGGCTCCACGTGCGAGGAATCGGGAGGACCCACAGAAAAACCCCACAGCGTTGCGTGGGGATAACAACTCCCGAGGATCGTGCGTTTGTCCCACCTTCGTTAAAGTTTCGTTTTTTCACGGCTCACTTTTTTTGTCTCGCCGTTATGAGGAAACCACTAGCTTTCACTGGCGCAGTGCCAAGATCCCCAGGTCACCTGGGGTCACGTGAGCGGTTCTGCAGCAGACCGCTGCAGAACCGGTCGCTGTGGCAACCCGCAGTCGGTGGTGGTGAGCGAGAGTGCCGCGGTTTGAGTGTCCAGGAGCGTTGTCGTTGTTGTGTTTCGTGAGGACGAGACGCGCGAGAGTTTTTCCGTTTGGCGTCCCGCGCCGCCCCGACTCCTCCACGGAAGGCCGTGAGCAGAGGTCGAAACCGGGTACCCGATACCCGTACCCTACCCGATACCCGGCTACCCGTACCCAGCCGGGTACGGGTACGGGTAGCCGTTTGCGACCCTGGTGCGGCCGGGTACGGGTACGGGTACTGGTAGGCCGTGAGTCACTGGTGAGTAACCGTTTGTCACTCATTTCGGGTAGGGTACGGGTACGGGTAGGGAACGGGTACCCGTACCCGGCCGGGTACGGGTACCCATTTGCGACCCTGGTGCGGCCGGGTATGGGTAAGGAATCAAAACCCGTTTGCGACCTCTGGCCATGAGAGATCGCGTCTGACCCATCCCCTTGTCGAGCGCTGATCCTTGGAGGAGCGAAAAGCAAACTTTTGAGTGGAGTCGGGGGGGAGGGGCACTTTTGAACCGACCGTACTTGCGTCAAAGTGCGCTTCTACCAGTTGAGCAAAAAAAAAATAGTTCAGAAACCCCTGGCAAACACGTGTGACCCCTGGTTCATATCCTGCTGCCTGTGGGGGTCCGAGCATGCCGCCAGAGTCTGTGTACAGCAGGAGGCGGGGGGGGTTGGAGTGGGGGAGGTGGGGAGGTTTCTTGGCTCGCTGCCTGCTCGCATTTTCCGTCAGGTGCTCGAGTTACGCGGCCATCTTCCTTGTCCAGCACGCTGCTCCACTTGAGCGGCTTACGAAAGCTCTCCGCGCTGTTGTTTTGGGGTGTGGGGTGGGAGAAATATAAACGATTCTCTCCCCCTCTATCTCTCTCGCTGCCGGGGCCCCATCTCTGCGGCCGCTGCTTGGCGGAGTAGCGTTTGCTGGCGGACGTCCTTGATGTTATCCTGAGCTCTATGATGAAAATTAATGCTCAAGGTATAGGTGCAGCCCCATGCAATTCCCTGCACGCGCCACGCTTGGCCATCCGGACGCAGACGGGCTGGGGAAAACGCAGTCGCTCGCGTGAACGGTGGGCGGCAGAGCAATGCGTGGAAAAATTGTTGTGCTGTACTCCTACACTCCCTCCCCACCTTCACTCAACTGCAATAACTGGTGTGGTGAGGTGCAGTCATGAAACTCGCAGCATGGGATGCGAACCAGCCAGCACGTGTGTGTGTGTGTGTGTACACGTGTGTGCATGTGTCCCAGTGGGTAGCGGTTAGCGTGCTGCGCTACGAACCTGGCGACCCGAGTTTGATTCCCTGCTCACGGCCAACACCAGTGACAATTATCTGAACCGATCCTGGGCCTCCCCCGAGGTCGACTCGGCCTCAAATGAGTACCTGGTGCGGTGCGTAAACATCGCCACTGGGGGAGACAAAGGCGGTTGGGCGTGGTGCTGGCCACCCCACCCCCTCGTGTACCATTCCGGCCTTCATAGGTGCTCGATAACCGCACTTTGACCCCCAAGCAGCCTGTGATTGGCTACGCGAGGGATCTTTACCTGTTGTGCGTGTCCCACGTGTGCGTCCAGGTACGACGGTAACTTCAACAGCAACGTGTCCAAGGCGATGAGCTGCGACCGCCTCTCCAGCACCGTGAACAGCCGCGTGTTCAACCCCGGCCGGGACTTCAACCCAGGTACCACGCGGGGTCACGTGCGTGCGCCGCCTCCGCAGGGCTTTTTGCCGATCCACCTTTTGCGGCACCCTGTTGTTTGGTGGTGCCGTTTGCCTCTCTCGAGGCCACCGCGCACGTCTCTAAAACAACATGCCGCTCGCCTGACGTGGCCACATGGCCCGGTGGTCAGAGTGCTGAGCCAGCATCGCTGGGCCACGCGGTAAACCGCTACAGACTACGCTCCTTCAACGGAGGAGGGGGAGGAGGAGGAACAACACGAACTCTCTCCTGAAGCCACCTCCTCGTGGCCAGCAGACCCCAACATTGGCATTGAGCTCCTGGACCGATTGCTGAAATACGCAAGAACGGAACAGCTGAGATCTCGGGGTTCGAATCCTTCGGATTGTGGTACAGTCATTGTCATTGTGGTCGGATAGGTCAGAGGTCGGAGAGCTGAGCCGGTACCACCTAGGCCCTGGGTTCAGATCCAGGTTACAGCCGCCTGTCATTAAACCGGGTTCTCAAGCAAAGTGAGTTGATGATCTCGGCTTGATCACACAAAAAAAAACTCGCATTAAATTGGTTCTGCACTTAATGTGGCAAAACCCCAGCACTGAGCGTGAAATATATTGGTTTCGCCGTCATGCAACGAACGTTACTGTCTGCTACTGGGTGTGGAAAGTGCTGCCCCCCAACTGTGTGGACTGGAGGTCACTTGACGGCAGCTCCGTGGTATCCGCTTCCGTGGGCCGCTCGCCAAACACGGAGGGTCGAGCTGTTGTGCGACATTTACGAACGGACTCTTCCATCTCGTGACGTGATGCCGATGGCGCCTTTCGGGGGTGGATAAATTGGGGAAAAGGTTTAAATAAACAATGTAAGGCCGCTCGCTCGCTAACTGCACGCGCTGTTACTTGCTGTCGGGCCCAGCCGGCCGCTTGAACAGCGCGGCGACCGCACCAGGGCCGTGGTGCGGTCGACCGGCCGCGTCACAAGGTTCGCAGTGGCCAAATTCGTTCAAAAGATCCATAAGATCGTTTGAACAAATCGCCACCCCCTACTATGCCCGTTTGTGAAACACGGTTCATTTGTCAAAGCCCCCCCCCCCCCCCCACTCCATTCCCCACCAGGCCAACCGCTATCGTTCATGAAACACGTCGCTGCTAATCCGAGCGAAGCACCGAGTTAACGAAGAGCGGGCGGGTGTGCGGGCGGGCGGGCGGGCGAGCGGGCGGGCGAGCGGGCGGGCGGGCGAGCCATGCTGTCGAGCGGCTCATGTGGTACGATGGGGACGGCTGCCATGGCGGGGCGTCAATAATTAACGAGTGCCGTCACGCGTGGGGAGAGAGAAGAGCGTGGCGCGGCTCGCGGAGCGTGACTGTCTCGTGCCGCCCCCCTCGCAAATTACCGGAGGTTGCTGTCAACGACGGCAGTGACGGCGACGGCAGCCACTGTGGTGGGTTTTTGTACGTAATTAACGGAGCCGATCTCCAAACCGACGGCGACGCCGCCACAAAAATTGCTCTTAATTGAGCGAGCCTGTTGCACCTGAAGCGGAGTTAATTGCGTGGGGGCCCGTCGTGGCGTTCATCCCGGGGTTTTACTCGAAGACCGTGGAGCGCAGATTTGAATCGTGACCAATGGCTCCGATTAAATTCACCGCCGCCGAAATGTTTCTTAATTTGCCAAACGCTTTGAGGTTTTGGGAAGGGGGGCGTGGTGGGTGGGGGGGGGGTGCCGCTGTGTGTTCCCGCAGCCATGGGCGGGCGTTCTCTTCATCATTATTATTAAGTCTCCTGCTTAAATTTTTAATGGCCGGCTTGGCGCTGCGCATTGGGATTATTCTTCCTTACGATCATCGTCCTAGTTTATTTTTTCTTTCTTTCGTTTTTTTTCTTTCTTTAGTTTTTTTACCCAGCCGATAAAACCTGGGATTCTCGCACGTTCTCCGTGAGCGTTTGAGGGGGGCTGTTATTCACAACTCAAGGAGGAGTTTAGAGAGAGCCACTTGGCTGTTCACAACGACGCCCTCAGCGTGTCAACCGGACCGCGTGTCTCCAACGCAGCAGAGGCTCGCCTCTGTTGGGCTGCCTTGCCGGCTTGTTCATTCTTAACTTGACCTCAACAAAGAGGTGGTGGTTACGATAGTGGATATGCTGGATGTGACGGAGGTGACAGAGGTGGCGGTTGTGACACGGCTGGCGGTTGTGGCGGTAGTGGTGAACCTGGCGGGTGGACGTGTTGCCCGCAGTGCTGGTGGACAACCTCAAGGTGAACCCGAGTGTCAAGTGGCAGTACTACAGCTCGGAGGAGGGCGTCTTCACCGTGTTCCCCGCTCACCGCTTCTCCTGCAAGGGGAACTACGAGCACCGCAGCCGGTACGGGAACCCTGCGGCACGACACCGGCCTCGTCACCGCCGTCGACCATCGGCCGTGGTCAATCCGCTGCTGGATGAAGGCCTTTCGCGAACCGTCGCCGCCTCGCGATGCCTCGCGCCGCTGCCATTGTCCAATTTCCCCAAGCTCGTTTAAATAACCTCGCTCGTTTACACAAACCGATTAGATTTATTTTTTAATTGTCAATTACACCTTGGTGCTGTTTGTGGGTGGCCGCTTGACGCTTTTGTGGGGCGAGCCGCTCGCGTTGCGCTCCGTTCTTCCGCTGCCACTCCGTCTCTATCCCCGACCATCGGCCAGCGTCCCTTCTGGCCGCGACAACTCCTGCCAAGGCCCCGCTCGCGTTTCTCAACGGTTGGAATGTCACGTCGGTCGCCTGCGTGCGGCCTCCAATCTGCGCGTTCCTCCCTTTCTGTCGCTCGTCGCGATTGCGACGGTTGTGACGAAGGTTTGTCGGTTGTTGACTTTGTGACGGCGATTGTGGTGACGGTCGCGGCGGTTGTGACCGTTGCGGCGCTGCAGGCCGGTGTACGTGGCGACGGTGCGGCCCCAGTCGAAGCACGTCGTCATCCTCCTGGACGTCGGCGCCTGGACCACGGAGGCCCAGCTGAGGATCGCTCGCGACGCCGCCACCACCGTCATCTCCGCCCTCAACCACCACGACAAGGCAACGCCACGCTCGCTCGCTTACTCACCAGCTCACTCACACACTCGCAAGCTCACTCGCTCACCAGCTCACTCACCCAGTCGTTCGCTTGCTCGATCCTCACATGCTTGCTTGCTCGGTCATGAGCTCAATTATTCAGGTGCTTGGTCACACACTCACAAGCTCAATTACTCACCCTCTCATTCATTCGCTCGCTCACTCGTTAACTCGCTTACTCGCTCGCGAGCCTAGTTACTCAAGTGCTTAGTCGCTCGCTCGGTAGCTCACCCAGTTGCTCGCTCACTCACTCGGCCCGTCGATGTCTGTTATCCTTCGCTGGAAGAAGATTCGTCAGAAACAAGTCAAAGTGGTGGTTTTGTTTTTCTCAAGCGAGCCGCATCGAGGCGTTGCCCCTTTTCCGTCGGCAGAGCCTCGGGGGGGCGTGCGCTCTCGTCTCACTCGGCGTGTGTCGCCCGCACAGCTCGGCGTGCTCGCAGTGTCGGACGCGGCCAAGGCCTGCCCGCTCGACTCCTGCTACCGCACGCTACTGTCGCCCGTCACCGCGGAGACGAGGCGCAAGATGGCGGCGTTCGTCGCCGCGGCGAGGCCCACGGACGCGCCTACCCAGCATGCACTGGGCTTCCGCCGCGCCTTCCAGCTGCTGGCGGCCACGCGGGAGCTGGGACGGACGCGTGGGGGGCGGCACCACCAGGGTCCGTGATGACCGCGACTCGTTCGGGATTGCACCCCACACTCGCTCACCGCACTCGCCACACTCGCCGCACTCATCGCCCCCACTGGCGGACTTGTGGCTGCACAGAGACGGCTGCCGCCAGGGGTGCCCTTTTTGGAGATGTGATGCGAGGTATATTGAGTTGCAAAGACATTTCAGCGCCACGTAAATGCAAAGATTTTAATTTTTACGACTGTCATCAGCCATGATCACTCAGCTGCTGGATGAAGGCTCTCCAAGCCATGTCGGCCATTACAGTTCATTGAGAGTACTTCTTCACTGGTTGGTGAATGAAGAGCCCAGAGCACTGGTTGGTCACACGGCAGTCAACTAAATGTGTTTTAATTCTCAAAGCTGGAATTTTTGCAAATGAAATGGGAGAAAAAAAAAATCCACATGTTGGTTTTTTTGTGTGCAGTTATTGGTGGCCCAGGCTGAGCCAATCATTTCCCTATGGTTTCATCACAGTGGTGTGACAACCGGGATGTGAAACCAGCTGGGCCATCTCCGCGGTCCGAGCCCGGTGGGCCACTCGGCCACCGGCGACGCTAATCGAACGCAACGAACGCTCGCAGAACAGAATTCACCGCTCGAGCACCGATCGTAAAAGCAGACTCTTAAAATTCCTCTTCGTGCAACTCGGTTCGAACCCGTCACCTAGTACTGTGCCTCTTGGGTAGATCCCCAGCTCTAGGGCTTAAAAGCAGCGCGCATTAAACGGTGCTCGCAATTTATGTATTTATTTTGCGTTTCAAAGACGGGCTCTTAGCTTTTAAGATAATGACGGGGCCCCCGCTGCCACTGGCGTCGGGGGCGCTGGAGAGTGCCACAGGGCGCACCGCCTCGCAGCTGGAGACACGCTCGGGAAATGATCGCTTAGCAGAGCCGGCGAAAAGTAAACTGCGTGACACGGCGTCTTCTTCCATCGGCATGATTCGCAGACGCTCCGCGTTGCAATTATGTAGCGTGTGCGCACGCGTGTCTTGTGTGTGCGCGTGCCACTCACGGGAGCGGTGGCGCAGCGGTTAGCACGCTGCGCGATGAAACTCAGCGACCCGAGTTCGATTCCCGCTCAAGGCCAACATCGGTGACGAATTTCTGAACCGGCCTCGCTGCTCGGCGTTTGTTGATGGAGGCAGGGAGCATAGACGTGGGAGCGTAGAAGTACAGTGCAGCAAAGGGTATATTGCCGCAGTGCCCACTGCTGCCCGTGGCATAGGCCTGCAACTGGTCCACTCGCAGCCATCGTCGACTAAAAATTTAAAATAAATCACTTTATATTCTTGGTTCTTTCGGTAAAGTCACGTAGAAGGGAAATAATAAAATAATATAAATATAAAACAATAAAAATTCTCACGACGTTTCGACTGCAACACAAGCAACCATCATCAGGTGTGAAATCCACAGCAAAAAAAAAATTATCAGGTGTCAAATCCACAGCAAGAAAATTTTCTTGCTGTGGATTTCACACCTGATTGATGGTTGCTTGTGTTGCAGTCGAAACGTCGTGAGAATTTTTATTGTTTTATATTTATATTATTTTATTATTTCCCTTCTACGTGACTTTACCGAAAGAACCAAGAATATGAATCCCTGCAGTCACGAAAGCTTTAAATCAAAATAAATCACTTTGTTGGCGATTTGTTTTTGGCGCTCGTGTTTCGTTGGCAACTAAATTTAACGCCGGTGTGGTGTCCCTTCACGTCGCCCTTAGCAACGGCAGAGGTGGTGGACATGGTGATCGTGTACCTGTCGCCGGGGGTGACGGGAGCGTCGCCGGGCGACGACGAAAAGCGGCAGACGCTGGCGGTGGTCGCGACCGAGAACGCCGCCCTCAACAACTCCGTCATGATCCTCACCTACGCGCTCATGAACGGTACAGGCGCGACGCCCCCCCCTCGCCCTGCCCCCACGGTTACCACGGCGACGCGAAGGGCCTCATCTCAAGTGCCGCCCCCTCCCTGGTGTTTGTGTTTGCGAGGGGCTCTTCATCCTGGGCTCTCCTCATGCCCGCCCCTCGTTTGTTTTGCGTGACTCCAGCGTTTGTACTGCCGAATGGTGCGAAACTAGTTCAGCCTACATACACTTGTACGTGGTATACATGTCAATCCACTGCTGGATGAGGCCCCTTCCCCAGAACGTGTGGCCCACAAGGGTTGTGTGCAATGCAAGGCAATGTGGATTGCTTACACTGTCTGAATTCAACTGCATCTCACTCGCCGATGGCATTATCCCCACTTGGTACTGTATTTTTTTTTATGTTGATTATGTTATTGTTGTCGTCGTCGTCCACGTTTGGCAGAAGCGACGATGGGGCTCCGCGAGCTGGCCTTCCTGCGCGACCTGGCCGAGCAGAACTCGGGGAAGCACGGCATCCCGGCGGATCGCCCGCCCTTCGACGACCGCCCCCGCGCCGCGCTGTTCCCGCAGGCCTCTTTCTCGGGGCCACCGGCGGCGCCGCCCCTCCCGGCGGCGGCCTGGGGCCCCCCACTCGCCCCCGCGCCCAAGGGCACCATGATGGTGCTCAACCCGCTGAGTAACCTGGAGACGACAGTGGGCAGGTTCTACACGAACCTCCCCAACCGCATGGTGGACCGCGCCGTCGTCAGCCTGCCGCGACGGGACGACGTGGGCGACGGTGAGGACGACCGCGGGCACAGCGTCTCGTACCGGTGACGACCGTCCGAACCGGTTTCTCGGGGGCCTTCCCCTGGGTCGACTCGGCCTCAAATGAGTACCCGGTGCGATGTGTCAACATCGCCGCCGAGGAGACAACGGCGGCCGGGCGTGGTGTTGGTAAACCCCACCCCCCCTCGTGTGCCGTTCCGGCCTTCATAGGTGCTGCTCGCTAATAGCACTTGCCCCAACAGTCTGTTACAGGCTATACGGGGGATCTTTGTCTTTGTAGTAAGGGACACAGGTGGTGCTTTGGACAGTAATTTCAGTCAGTCGACCCATGGCACCTGCTGGCTCTGTCCCGTTAACTCCTGCCAGTAGCGAATGGTGGTTTTTGCGTGCAGTAGAGGTGCTGCTGCTGCGAGGTTTCACGCGATGATTGTTTACACTCCTTGACGAGCTCCGCAAGGTATTGTGGTTCATTTGTGTCAAGTACTTTGTGTGTGTGTAATGCGTGCGACCTTATGACCTTTTCGTTCGGCAACCGGAAGCCAATGCTGTCGCGAGTCGGTTTTCATCAGAACGTATCCCACGTGTGCGGCCGCCGTTCAAATGCGAGGAGGGTGCCGGGTCGGGACTGTGCGGTGATAAATGTGGGTGGGGGGGGGGGAGGTGGTGGTGGCGGCACGGGTCTCCCCTGCCCGCCGCTGATGCTCTCGGGCTCGTGCGAGGTCTGGCCCCCGTCCTGAGAGAGCACGGCGCGCGCCTCTGGGATGGTTGGGATGCGTTTGCCAAATGGGCACTTTCTCCCTCATCCTCATCCCTCCTCCTCCCTGTTATTGTCCCGTTTGCTTGCGTTTGTAACACAAATATACGCGAGACTAAAAGGGATGGCTGCTTCTCCTTTTTTTCTTAAAAAACAAATACGGATCCGGGGATCCGCATCCGTGCGACGTTTTGCAAGTTGGCGAGAAGAATTTACTGAGAGTAAATAAGATGCGGAACTTTTAAGGGGGTGGGTTTGGGTGGGGGCGGGGGGGTTATCCCTCGTAAAACACCCGGCGAGTTGATGGACGCAAAAAATGACGTCCCTTGATTCCACGCGGCTTTCCAGCAGCGTTCATGCTCGTCGAACGCTGGCTCGTGAGCGCGATCCGCGGGCAGCAGCCGCCGCTTTTGTTCCCTTCAGTCGCGAGCGCTGTGGCCGGGACTGAACAAACTACGGCAGTTTTGTACCGTATTCGACGGAGTACGGGGCCATCCATTGAGTACGTACGCATGGAGGGGGGGTTAACCCAAATGCGTACGCTTGCGTATGGGGGGGGTTTACTGACAATGTACACATAGGAAACGGGGGGGGGAGGGTGAAGCCTCGATAATAATTTGTCTACATTGGCCTTCAAATGAGTTAGATAGTCTGGCGGCGGACTATCTGTTTGCTTAAACACGTTAATATTAGTAATCCGTTTCTGCGTGGATTACATATCGGCCGTTCTACAGGATTCGGGGAGGGGGGGGGTGGCGTCAAGCGTACGTACGCAGGTGGGGGGGGGGTGTCAAAAGTACGCGTGTGCACAGTGAGGGGGGGAGGGGTCAATATTTGCCAAATTTTGCGTACCTCCTAAATGGATGGGCCCCTACCCTGGGGTCAAAGTAAACTTCTGCCGAGCCACCAAAAGCCATAATAGCCATGTGACGATCAATATGCTGCTCTTGTGAAGGGGAGATCCCTCTGAAAGGTTGGTATCTAGGCCCAGTTTTCGGATTTTATCGGATGAGCCTAACGCTCGGGAACACATCCTCCGTGTATCCACGGACACGCACGTGGCAGCGGCGATCGGCACCTCGAGGAGACGCGGTGCTGGCTGGTTTTACTGTGCAGCCGCTCGGCTCCCAGCGGTAGAACGATCGGCTCGTCGTGGTCGTCGGTAGGCGCCACGGTGGCGAGATGTCAACTACCTCGCCTGGTGTGTACAGGAGGTCGTGGATACGATCCCGACCCTGACGCCTGTATTTTTGGAGTTGGCGTGTTGTGAAGTATTTGGCTACTGCTACACATGTCCACGTGATAAACCACTTTGTTGAGATATCATTTGTGGCCAGGTCGCTTCTGAAAAAGAGCTGTGTAGCTCAGTGGGGCCTTACCTAGTAAAATAAAAATAGTAAATCGTAGGTTCAGAGTTCAAATCCCGGTTGGTGGCTTTACCCAGCCCACTACTTTGTCGGGAGTTCTACGGCGATTTTCATTTGGATAGACTCGTCCCCCACCATAGGAATGTGTAAATCTCCACCGCTGCTCATTCAAGCAGGAAATCACTTGTATATGTTTTCCCCATTTCACCAAGCTCGGGTTTTTTTTTTTTTTTACGAGCGTGCGGCGTTGCCCGCAAGTGGCGACCGTGCAACGCGCCGCTTCTCCTCGGCGGTCTCTCTGGCTCTCTTCTCTCTTCTCTCTCTCTCTCTGTCTCTCTCCGGAAGCTGATTAACCTTCGTGTAGATTCCCGAGCCAGGCTGGTCTGTGCGTGTTCGTCCGCGATAACGAGATCAAAGCTCTGCGTGTGCGCGAGACGAGAGGAAGGGGGGGAAGAAAAATTAACATTTTAAAGGGAATTTTAGAATTGCGCGCTGGAGTTGCTGCGGAGGGATGGAGGGGGGCGATGGTTAGAAGTGGGGAGGATTTTTCGATTAAAAGCATTCGTGACTGCAGGGATTCATCTTCTTGTTTCTTTCGGTAAAGTCACGTAGAATGGAAATAATAAAATTATAATAAAATAATAAAAATAAAACATACTAAAATAATTCTCACGACGTTTCGGCCACAACGCAAGCAGCCGTCCTCAGGATGAAGAACAGGTCTGTCGAGAAGACAGCGTCTGAATTCAGGCTCTGTCTTCTCGACAGAATTATTTTATTATGTTTTATTTGTATTATTTTATTATTTCCATTCTACGTGACTTTACCGAAAGCACCAAGAAGATGAGTGGGGAGGATGTTCGCGAGGCCTCCGTGTGTTTCTAGGTACGAGAGTTAACAAAACAAATAAATGGACGAGGAAGCAAACATCGTCGTTGCGTGTGGAGTCTGTAAGGCATTGAGTTTGTCCGCAGAAGCGTTTTAATTCGCTGCGCGGAAGCTGACGGGCAGCTGTTGGAGCAAAACGTGTCTGTAAATTTGTAAATTGTTCGTTAACCTCTGGTTTTTGTTGGATCGGTTTTGGCAACGCATTTGTATAAACGTGGCCCGTTTCCTCTTGCACGTGTCCCTCATAACAACACAACTGTACACCAACGTTACATTTTTTTCCCTTGGATCGTCTTCTAAATAATAATCTTCTCTTTACAAATCGCCTTTCGTATCAAAATATCTCAAAGCGTTGTACGTAACAACATAAAAACTTCGCTCGCCATCGTTTACTTATTTCATAATACTTCTTGGAAATTGTTTAACATTTAAAATTTCATTTCCTACCCTTTGTTCCCTCGTTAAGAATGATAGTTTGAATTAAAGTGATAGAGAATACATTTCATGAGGAGTTTTAAGTCGCGAGTGTTTTTTGTTTGTTTTGAACAAGACGCGTACTACAGTGCATGCTGGAACGCGCGCGTACACACACTAGTGCTTACCTGCTGGCGTCTCCACCAAGTGTCCACGTTCGTGTCGGCGGTGCAAACGTCAATCCAGCGTCGATTCAATTCTCGCGAGGACACGTTGAGCAAAATTAAACGCATATATATAAATCCGCTTCATTCGCTACGCCTGATCCTCGTGGATAAAGATACAGCCCCGCAAGTGCTTTCTCACGCCACTGCCGGCGGAAGGGTCTCCACGAGATTGAGTTCTTGGAGAGAGACTGTTTGGTCTACTCTTCCGCGTGGGCCCAGGCGTCTAGGAAAGTGTGGGTTATCCCACCTCTTCCAAGACAATTCCGTCGGAGTGTAACAGTGGGCCAAACACCCTCCTGGAGTGTGCTTCTCTAGAGCTCCCTGTGTTCATTGGAGGCCCTTCCTCCAATACTAGCCGGTGATTACCGGGCTGCAGCTTGACCTTTATCCAATGAACGAACGTGGTTGAGTTGGTTTGTTTTTACGTGTGCCTGCCCACCCTTTGCACTGCATTTATATTCGTTACGGAGCGTGGTGTGTGGGTCCGCGTCGCGCCTTCCAGAGCGCCCCCTCGTGGGGGCCCTGGCAACAGCGGTGACACGCAAGGCCCCCCCAAACGTGTCTCCTTGAATCCCTACGTTGACCGAATCTCATCTCTCCCGTGTGCGCGGCGGCGACGGTGGCGGCGGTGCAGGGCTCGTGATGACGCTCAGCAAGCCGTGCTACTTTGGGAATATGCTGCTGGGCGTCGTGGGCGTCGACCTGGCACTGGCGGACGTGTTGGAGGACGTCACCTACTACCAGGACAACCCGGCCTCCTACGCCTTCCTCATCAACACCAAAGGTGACCGCCACCACCGTGGCACGCCGCCGCTACCTGTAATTCCCTCTCCTCAAGCGGCCGCACTGATGATCGCCGCTGTGCGGAACTCTAATATCCAACCCGAAACAACAAGGGGTTGTTTCGGGTTGGATCGTGTAAGTATAAATGTGTCATATTCTTGGTTCTTTCGGTAAAGTCACGTAGAAGGGAAATAATAAAATTATATTGATATTATTTTAATAAAAAATGTTATTTTTTATATTTATTTTATTTTATTATTTCCCTTCTACGTGACTTTACCGAAAAAACAAAGAATATGAATCCCTGCAGTCACGAAAGCTTTGAATCAAAATTTTTAAATGTGTCGTTAACCGACCACCATCCAACAGCCAATATAATGATAATGATGCTACGCTCCTTCCGCTTAACTCACAGTACACCTTCAAGGACCGCCTGACGGCGTTTGCAAGAAGAGTAGGCCACGGTGTGCTGGTGTCGTGGTCCAATTTGGCAAATTTGAACAATTACACCGCGCGTCACGTGAAACCTAACAACCCCTTCCTCCGCCACCCCCTCCCATTCCCTCTTCCTCTCATTTCCTCTCCACCCTCGACCCCCGCCCCCCCCTCCCCGCCTTCCCCCGCACCTCTTCGACGCGACCAGAATGGCACCGCCTCGTTAAACGTGTGGGCTTGGCAAACCCACAGTGGCGTGCGAAATGCTTCCAAGTTGAGCGGGGGCCTGCTTTGCACGCCTCTCGATAGGTCACGCAGAGGAGTGTGGGGACGGTGGCGAGGCGGGCCGAGTGGTTCGACTGAACCTCTCTACCCTGCCCCCGTAACGCCTTGACGTTTCGACCGCCTCGTGGGCACAAATCTCAATGCAATGATATTGTAAACGCTATCATTGGGTGGCCACCGTGTAAAACGTTATAGGCCGCAGGGCCACGTCGCGGGCATTCGAGAGGCAGTGCAGCAAATCCATCGTTGTACTGTACTTATGTATGCTCCCACGTCCCCCTGCTCTCTCTGTCTTGAACAACTTTAAACTCAACACTTTCGTCAATCACACCGTGTGGCCTTAGAGTTTACTATCGACCAATGGCCCTTCCGCTTCGTAGCACGTGGTCAGCGTTTTGTTATTTGTGCCCCAACGCCAATGCCGCAGCAACGCCAACTAATATTTTTAAACAACTCCTAACCGGTTTGTTGTACCTCTCAGATGTAGCAACCCTGGCAGTGGTGATGTCACTGCCACGCGGTTAGAGCAGTGACGGTGGCGGCTTTTGTGATTCGCTTCGCCAAACCACGCACTGCATCGGTTCCTCAACAGTGCCTGAACTACTCCCGTGGGCCTTGCCTTTGATCAGTGATTCTTTACCTGAGGTGCACGCCACCCCCTCCTGGGGGTGCAAGATGCCCTTTCTGGGGGTGCAAGACATGGCCAGATATTTTTTTTGAAGGTAAATCATCAAAACACAAATTCAGCACGGGCACGTGAGCACAACTTAGTTTTATCAAACCCTATGTATTTATTAACATTATAAAAAAATTACGATTCACAATCAAACGGGTTCAAGGCTGCAGTAAAGGTTCAGAACCACGGCCTTAGAATGACTCCGGCCTTCAGTGAGTAACCCACAGTGCAGTGTACACGGTGCCGTTTGTTGCTGACCGCTTGACGATTGGGGCCGCGTGGCTCCTCGCTCGGTGGGGCGGAGGCTGACCCGGTACCGCCGCTGTGTCCACCGCGCAGGATACACGGTGATGCACCCGTCGCTGGTGCGGCCCATCCAGCAGAGGGAGCCGCCACTCCACACGGACGTCCTGCACTACGAGAACGTGCCCGGCTTCGCGCTCGTGCGATACAACATGCTCAGGTGACACCCCCCCCCCCCCGCCGCCTAGATCCGCCCCCCACCCCCCCACCTCGGCCATATCCATCCTTTCGGTTGGGGGGTGGGGGAGTGGGAGCCCGCACGCCTCTGCCAGATTTTTTCCGGGCTGCCCCTGAAGCCGGCCATTGGCTCGCTCTCGCCAACCTTCGGCGTGACCACAGAAACGTCGCCGATTTGGCTCCCCTGCCGTAGGGAAGGGAAAGAGCTGCTGCTGCTGCCGTCACCCTTCCCCGACTGGGCCACTCGGATGGCGTCGTCCAGTCGGATAGGAGGCGGCAGTTGTCTTGATTCTGACAGCGAAAATCACAGGGAGGTTAGGAGCGCAAACCACGCAGCAGCAATACAACCCGGCATGGCGGTGACGTGGCTGGTATGCCGTGGCAGTGCAGCAAGTGGGGTTGCGAACCCATCCGTGCAGATTACATTTTAGCGTTTTACCCGCTTGTATTCCGTGGTGGGGTTTCTCCCCGCTGCAAAATCGCTTGTTTACAAATCGGTCAATCGTTGGTCGAGCCGCTGCTGGATAAAAACGAGCGCAGTAAACGAACGCCGGAGCCGCGCTGCCCTTGCCTGCTGTGACCCCCGGTGTGCCTGCACGTCTGTGTGTGTCTTTGTGTTTGTGTGTGTCTGTGTGTGTGTCTGTGTGTGTGTGTCTGTGTGTCTGTGTGTGTGTCTGTGTGTCTGTGTGTGTCTGTGTGTGTCTGTGTGTGTGCGCTCCAAACCCCTGCTGCAGCCTCCCGCTGGGCAGCCAAACCATCACCGTGCCCGCCAACGCCTCGCTGTCGTGGCACGCCAGCCGACTGCGCGACACGGGCCGGACGGGCGCCTACAACGTCAGCTATGCCTGGAAGCTGGTACGTGTCGTCGTCATCGTCATCGTGATTGTCGTCGTCGTGGTTGCCGTCTTCGAGCTGTGATCTGTCCACTGCTGGATGAAGGCTTTCCCATATCGTCGTTGCCTATCTCGATATCGCGATGGAACAATCCATCAGTCCAGCGTTTTCAGTTCTTAAAAATATAAACTCAACGTGTTCATCGATAACTCGATGCCCTCTAATTGATAATATTTTATACAATAAATGGAAAATACATTTTAAAGATCTTTTTTCACACGAGAGATTTAAAACACGGCATAGCGGTGGCTGGCGAGCGTTGGCGGGAGAGGTGACGCCGTGGTGACGATGCTTTGCGGTGGCCCTCGCCAGGTCCAGGACACGGCGTTCATCGCGTGCGTCGCCGTCGTGCAGCCGGCCGTGCCCACCAAGCACCTCAAGTCGCTGGGCGCGCCCCCCGGCGGCAAGCTGCTCTACCACCGCGTGGACCTGCTGAGCCCCCCCAACCTGTGCATGCACTTCCGCCAGCTGTCCACGCTCGGTACGGGGACCGCTTGCCTGCACCGAGCCACGCAAATGACAGATAAAGATCTCCACCCCGTATAGCCTGAACAGACTGTTGGGGCAAGTGCTGTTAGCGAGCACAGAGCCACACACACTAAACCACACGCACCGAGCCGCACGTGGACACCGAGCCACGTGGAGATGGCCAGGGTCATAATTCAGTAGAGACAGAGAATTGGGGGTAAGCAGACTCAGGGTCCCGCGTGTGAGTAGGAAAATTCTGGGATGAGCCAGGCCCCACGAGGTTTGAGGTGAGCACTGTGTGTGTGTGTGTGCGCGTCGGCGCAGAGAGCCCCACGGTGATGCTGTCTGCGGGGGGGTTCTCGGACCCGTTTGAGCACCTGAGCCAGCCGGAGACGCGGCGCATGGCGGAGCACTACATGGCGTACCTGAGCGACAACACGCGGCTCATCGCCAACCCCGGCCTCAAGGTGACTTGCCGATCGCTCAATCGCTCGCCCGATCACTCGCTCGATCGCTCGCTCGTTCACTCGCTCTCCCGCTCGCATGTTTATTCGCTCGCACGCACACGGAGAAGCTGGATTACTTTGTTAATGTATAATCAGTCAGTGCTTGCTCGCTCGGTCACTTGTCCGCTTGCTCGCCCGGCAACTCCCTCGCTCGCTCGTTGGCTTTCTTGCTCGATCGCTCCTCTCGCTCGCCGTGCGCCGCAGTCGCTGGTGCGGGCGGAGGTGATGGCCACGGGCCACGTGTCGGAGGAGTGGACCACGCAGATGGAGCTCAGCTCGCTGCACAACTACATCGTGCGGCGCTACGTGGCCACGCCCAGCGGCGTGCTGCGCGTCTACCCCGGCACGCTCATGGACAAGGCCTACCACCCCTCCCGCCAGCAGTGGTACGGCCCACTCCGCCAACACCCCCCGCCAAGCCCTCTGCAATCCGGAAGGTTTCAAATGGGGTTCAGGTGGAAGTGGGGGGGTGGGTGGGTCGCTTCTTATCCCCCTGCTGCTCCTACTGTCCAGAATTCTTTTCACCCCCAAGCTCCCCACCGCTGACTTGATCCCAACTCGGAGTGCGACCTTGCCTTCACCGCGCACTCCTGCGGGTGGTGGGGGGGTGGGGGTAGAGGAGGAAAAGTAGTGCGTCGAGGCGAAGGCTTCAGGGAAGAAACTCTCAAACCTAGAAGGCCGAGCGCTGATTATGACTGGACGTATGTTGAACTTTTTTCGCACCGTACGTAGTCAACCGGGCTATTCGGAGGTGCGGGCGTGTGATGACACATTGCTTGCACGCCCCGTCTCTGGCCGCAGGTACCAGCAGGCCATCGCCAACCCTGGGCTCATCACGCTGTCGGGGCCCTACCTGGACATCGGTGGGGCCGGCTACGTGGTCACCCTCAGCCACACCATCCACGCCTCCAGGTGATTGACCCGCCCCCTCCCTCCCCCCCCGTCGCCGGTGCCCCAGGGTGGGGGACACAACCAGGGGCTTTGTAACGCCTGGAATGGGAGGGAGGGAGGGAGGGCGGGCGGGATGGAGGGCGAGAGGGAAGGCGAGAGGGAGGGCGGGAGGGCGGGAGGGGGTGAGGAGGGAGGGGCGGGAGGGAGGGGCGGGAGGGAGGGAGGGGCGGGAGGGAGGGAGGGGCGGGAGGATAGGGAGGGGGACAGGCAGGGAGGCAGGGAGGAAAGCAGGGAGGGAGGATAGGGAGGGAGGCAGGGAGGGAGAATAGGGAGGGAGGCAGGGAGGGAGGATAGGGAGGGAGGGAGGGAGGATAGGGAGGGGTTTACTGATCGATGCCACCCACAGCTCCAAGGCGGAGCTGGGCCAGGTGGTGGCGGTGATGGGGATGGACTTCACTCTTCGCTACTTCTACAAGGTCCTCACCGACTTCATCCCCGCATGCAAGGCCGGGGCTGCCGGCAGGATCCGGTAACGGAGCCCCCACGCACATCATCTCCCTCACCACCGCCGTGGTCAGAGCACGGGGGGACGTCTTCCGACATCGTAGCGATGTCGCACGTTTAGTTTACGATAATATTTAAGTAAGTTCGAGTTATGTGACGTAGGGCGTTGGTATAAGTTACAAGAAATATTCCGGTACATCGATCCTACCTGACTTATAATTCACATAATTGGTGACAGCATTTTTAATTTATATAATTAACATCGATAACAATTAGTACGTAGGCAAGCCATGCTTGGGGTGATCACATCACGCCGGCAACAATGCACGGGGAGCTCTGTGGTGTCTTGGTGTGGAACTCCCGAGTCCCTTTGGAGCGCCGCGATCTGTTCCACGCTTCACCAAAAGTCTCTCCTCCCCCCGGCTCCCCCCGCCCGCAACGGCAGATGCTTCATCATGGAGGACAAGGGCTACCTGGTGGCGCACCCCACCCTGGTGGACCCGCGGGGCCACGCGCCCGTGGAGCAGCAGCACATCACGCACAAGGTGGGAAGGTCGTCGCGCCGCCATGCCCCGTCCCATCTCACCCGTACCGTCCCGTCGCCCCGTCCCATCTCCCTGTCATGCCCCGCCTTGTTCCGTCTCCCCCGTCCTGTTGCCCCGTCCCATTACGCCATCCCGTCGCGCAGTGCATCGAGGGGGGGGGGGCAGATGTCCGGGGCCGTCACTTTTAGCACAAACGTAGAATATATTAATCGCCCGATCATTCCTACGGCGTCGCCCTGCCAAGCAGTGGAGAGCGCTCCGTGGGGTTCAGTGTGGGTCTCGGTGAATATATGGGTCGCCGTGTCAGCCCACGGGTCTATTGCGTCAGCCTACAGGTCTCTTGCGTCAGCCTACGGGTCTCTGGGGAATTGTGTGTGATGACCACTCGATGCGACTGGGTTATCAAATAATGCGCTCTTATTGTGCCATGAAAACAAATCGGTGATGCTAACGTTTTGCTACCTCCTCTTGGTACAGCAAGACCGCCCGAGATGACGACGCTTATGTCACGTAGGCCGTGTCGGCGTTTGAGAGCGAGTGGATCGTAGAGGCCCCGAGAGAAACGTCACGATGACAAAGAAACGTTCACCTCTCAACGCAATGTTCTTGTGCCTGCGGGTCTAGAATCAGACTACTCGATTGAACGAGAACCCACGTAATGAGACCAGGAACAAGGCCCCTATGTATGTATGTTGAACTTGAACTTTGTTCGCACCATACGTAGACAACCACCCTAATTGGAGGTGCGGGGGGAAGGACAACAAACCAACCGCTTAAAGCAGTTTTAAAGAAATGAGTCTTCGATCTAGATAATGATTTAAAAGTGCCGTAGCTCCAGCGGCTTCCTGATAATGGAAGGAAGGGCAATCGGAGCCACTCGTCGTAACAACGACGTCCGACACCCGGAGCACAGAGGGAAAGACATGGAGCGAGCACGCGGCTGCCGTCATCGTCTTCATCGTCCTCATCATCGTCACTGTCGTCATTATTACTGTTGTCATCGTCCTCATCATCGTCACTGTCTTCATCGTCCTCATCATCGTCACTGTCGTCATCGTCACTGTCTTCATCGTCACTGTCTTCATCGTCACTGTCGTCACCATCATCGTCACTGTCGTCTACATCATCGTCACTGTCGTCACCATCATCGTCACTGTCGTCACCATCATCGTCACTGTCGTCATCGTTACTGTTGTCATCGTCCTCATCATCGTCACTGTTGTCATCGTCCTCATCATCGTCACTGTCATCATCGTTACTGTCGTCATCGTCCTCATCATCGTCACTGTTGTCATCGTCATCATCATCACTGTCGTCACCGTCATCATCACTGTCGTCATTGTCACTATCGTCATCTTTGTCATCGTATTTGGCCCTGTGGATGATCGCCACGCACGCTCTGTGTCCCAGGAACCGCTCGTCGCCAACGACATCCTGAACCACCCGATGTTCGTCAGGAAGAGGCTGTGCAACAGCTTCAGCGACCGCACCGTGCAGCGCATGTATCAGTTCAACACCAGCCTGCAGGTGAGAGCAGTCAACCATCCAGCACGCACGCACGCACACACGCACCTCCGCCTGTGTGCGTCTGTGTGCACGCGTGTATGTTATTTGCGGGGCCGGCTTTCATAGGTGCTCGCTACCAGCACTTGCCTCAACAGTCTCTTAGAGTTAAATTTCGATTTAAAGCTTTCGTGACTGCAAGGATTCATCTTCTTGGTTCTTTCCGTAAAGTCACGTAGAAGACGCTGTCTCCCCGACAGACCTGGTCTTCACCTGAGGACGGCTGCTTGCGTTGTGGCCGAAAGGTCGTGAGAATTATTTTATTATGTTTTATTTTTATTATTGTATTACTTCCCTTCTACGTGACTTTACCGAAAGAACCAAGAAGATGAGTCTCTTAGAGTATCCAGTGTAAATATCAGCTAAATCATAGTTTTAAGGATTAAAGGCGATGGCGTCGCTAGAGAGCTCAGCAGTTTGGCTCCCTTGGACGTTGCCGTGACCACTGGGCGCCGCCGCCGTCGCCACCGCCCACCGCCAATGTCGTGCTAACCGTGCCGCGGTGGCGCGCAGGGCGAGCTGACGAACCTGGTGCACGGCAGCCACTGCTCGCGCTACCGCCTGGCGCGCGTTCCCGGCACCAACGCGTTCGTGGCGCTGCTCAACGAGACGTGCGACTCGCTGGCGTTCTGCGCCTGCAGCATGGTCGACCGCCTCTGCCTCAACTGCCACCGGTAACCGCCGCTCGCCGCCACGCCGATAACCGCCACTCGCTAACACGCCGGCTCTCGCCACGTCTCGGCTCACCGCGTCCTCCACCCGCAGCGACGTCCACCCCCTCTCTCTCATCGTGACCTCCCTCTCTCGCCGCTATCCTCACCTCCTGCTCGCCAAATCGCCGCGACCTCGACTCGATGCATATTCGACTCGCCCATGGCTTGTGCCTCACCCCCCACGGCACCTGATCATCGCAACCACCACTCGCCAAGATGCTCGCACGCCACTACCGCTCGCCACCTCCACCCCCAGCGGCTCTGCGTTACGACACGCAGGTCCATCTTGACTTTTATTTGCGTACGAGTGAAGGTGATGATGACGGTGGTGGATAAGCCGGATTGATCTGGCCAGGCGGGGGGGGGGGGACTCTCATGCCCAGCCCAGTGGCCAGCGTTGCAAGGCAGCGTGGCCCCCCGCTCGCCTTCGGGGAGGGCGAGTTGTTGTGGGTGACGCGCGTTGGCGACGTGCGCACGTGGTGTGTCCGCAGGATGGAGCAGAACGAGTGCGAGTGCCCTTGCGAGTGCCCCCTGGAGGTCGACGAGTGCACGGGAAACCTCACCAACGCCGAGAACCGGTGAGGAGAACCGCCCCACGCCGCAGGGACGTTCGTGCCGGCCTCGCGCACGCACAGCACATGCGTGTGGCGCGTGTGGCAAATGCACGCGCGTGTCATGCGCTCGTATGCCGCCATTGAGCTTTGTGCAAAACCACGGATTTAACAGAAAGTGCCCGAAAGAACTGCGTTGTGATCGTTGAGCAACCGTTACCAACCAACTGGCAGCAATGAGACAGAGAGACATCTGTAGGTACAACGTTACACTTGCCAGTGCACGGACAGCGCAGGGCAACCGTCAGCAGGGTGGTGTGGTGCATTCTACTGCTAGGCAGCAGCACACGCGCCCCACCTCTAGCAACAATCAACCAACTACAGCCATTGAGTGTCACACCGATCCTCCCGTTGAGCCTGGGCCTAGCCCACCGGCCATTCGTGTGGTTACCCCCCCGAGCGAACTTAGGCGACCATCCACGAGCACCGACCCTCACCGGCAAGCCCACCGTCCGCCGGCACGCGCCGATTGTGCCGTCGCTGAAGCGCGTTTCCCCCCTCGCGCACAGCGGCTTGCTTTTTTTCTTCCCTCCGGGTGCTTCGGTTTCTTTCCCGCGCGTGCAATCGCTCGTTAATTAATTGGCTGTGAAAACGTCAAAATATACAGAGGCTGCGGGGGTAGGAGTTTCGGTCGGTTGGTGGAAGCGAGGACCGGGCGCTGCCCGGCTGGCTGCCTCGTCGGCGATTGCGAGCAGCGGTTTTTGCACGCGCGACGACGCTGTGCATCATCATTGTGATTGAAACCAATTCGCCAGCCAGCCCACTGCTGGGCACACTAGCCCTCGAACTTATCCTCACCCCAAACTCTAACCTCTTCGTCAGTACTCGGCCGAGTAACGCACCCCCTTCATTCTCCGTTTGCTTTTGAGAGTTTTGTTTCTGCAAAGCGCGCATTTCCTCGGGAGCCCGCTTGAAGTGCTGCCCCCCCCCCACCAATGTGTTCCGAGTTAAGCTCCTGTGGCCATTTTACCTCCTTGCACAGGGGGGCCCCGACTTAGCACAGAGATGGCTTTGACGGTGGCGGCGGCGGCACGGCTCCGCGCTCGCCGTAGAGATTTATTTTGGGCAAGCACGTGCCCAATTTTATTTTTTATCAACGGAGCGGAGAGCTGCGTTCGGCGATTTTAATTTTGCAACGGCCCCGAACGTTTTGCAACGAACGCTGCAATTAAAACACGAAGCTCCGTCGTGAGTGAGATGGATTTGACAGCGGCGCAACCAGTGGAATGCGTTACCAATGCATAACAACGGATGCCAGAACAGTTGTGGCCTTCGGGTCGTTATTAAAAACACGTGTTTTTTTTTTAAACGGAATCCGTGACTCCGGTTGCAGCGATTCCCCAACCCTGTTGGATGTGTGAGAACCCACCGTCGGTACCATTCCAACGGACCGTTGTGCCACGCAGTCGGAGATGTCTGGTGTTTTGTGCAGCGAGCCTTGGTGTCTGCTACGATCCACGGATTGCATCATCTACTGACTTGCGGCCACACACGTTAGGATCCAATCCCTGAGCCCCCTCCGCCCCCTCCCCCCTCGCCGTCAGGCAAAATTATCTCCTCATTGTGGATTTTTATTCCGGCTTCTTGGACCTTGTCCCAAGGGTGCCTGACAAAACGCCCCGTCTCTCATTGCTAAATTCTGATCCGAGTAATTGTTTTCGAGCTCGCCGGCGAGCGAGGTTGAAGCAACGCGAATAGCCGGCGCGTCGTTGCAACGCCTGTGCGCACGCGGCAGTTTAATTAGTTTGGGTGGTGGAAGGGGCACCAGCGACACGAGTGTACGTGGCCTAGCGCCAAACATCTTATGATTCGCGGCATGATCCTGTAGAATAGTGTGACCTCATGCGCACGTCCAGATCAATATTTATTGGTCAATCGTTGCATAGATTGTCCAGCCTCGTGATTGATCACTTGAGCACAAAAATGTACGGCTTTCGATTGGGGAGGATGTGTTGCATGGGCAGGAACTTGAGTTGAGTTGCTGGCCACAGCTACCATCACTGGCGAACAATATCTTTCACCGGGCGTTTGTGATAAAAAGAGCTTCATAGCTCATCGGATTCCACCCGTCTAAATAAAGATTCTGCTTCTGATTAACCGGTCCTGGGAGCCCCTGCCTCACTCTTTACCAACCGAGTGGTGTAAGTACGGTCAAACAACTCCGATGAGACCGGCACTCACAATGAGGGAGTTCATAATCAACGTTTTTGGGTTTAGATCGCGTAATTTATAAATGTGTCGTAACCCTCCACCACCCGATGATGCTGGATGCATTTACCAGCGAAACGTCGTACTACTCAAAAATTGTAAATGTTGTGGTTTCATGCTTCAACACACCGGTGGGCTAAAGCAGTGAACTATTTGTCTTTTGTCAACGTGACACTTTTTTACTCATTGGCCGTGTCGGGTGGTGGAGGGTTACGACACATTTGTAAATAACGCGATCTAAACCCAAAAACGTTGATTATGAATAATATTGGTCGCGAAAGCCTACGTGTTAAAATGAGGGAGTTCTTAATCCAGCAGTGGATTGACAATAGCTGCACGTTGTACGTGACACAATTACAGCAAGAATGTTGGAAGCTGCTGCCATATGTGCGCCGTTCATGCTCGCGCCACTCCCCCCCCCCCCCCCCGTTCCCCCTCTCCGCCCCCCCTCTGTCCCAGCAATCCCAGCTGTGAAGTCACACAGGAAACGCTGAGCCTGGCCACCTTTGACCCCGCGCTGCAGGAGACGCTTCCCCAGTGCATCAACACGCGCTGCAGCCAGCGCCACACCAAGAGGTAGCGCCGCGCCCGTCAAGAGCGGCGACGCACCGAGCGCGGACGCGCGCTGTGTTTCCCGTGTGCGTGCGTGCGTGGCCACGTTTCACGTGTGTGTACGTGTGCGTGTGTCTGTTTGCGAGTGGGTAGTGGTAGTGCAAAAGTTGGCGCACAGCACTCCGATTCCAACGATCAGATTTTGATTCCCACTGCCAAACACCCGTGATGATTATCTGAAGTGGTCCAGGGCTCAATTAGTATATTGTGCACTGTGTAAGCATCACCACAGGGAGACAAAGGCAGGCGGGTGTGATGTTGGCCATTCACCAACTTATATGCCATGCCAGGCCTTCATAGGTGTTGCTCGCTAACAACACTTTCCCCGAGAGCCTATTGAGGCTATGCATGTATTTTGAACTTCTTTTGCACCGTACGTAGCCAACCGTGCTAATCGGAGGTGCAGTCGGGGAAGAACCACAAACTAAGCACAAAAAACTGTTTTAAGAAATTCGTTTTCAATCGGGATTATTTAAAAGTGCATAGCTCCAGTGGCTTCCTAATAGCGGAAGGAAGAGCGTTCCAGACGGCCGCAGAAGCGCATCTGAAAGCGCGCGATGCGATGGCTAGCCAGAAGCTCACTGCTGTTGCTGCGAGGATTAACCGAGTTGATGTGATGATGCTTTATGCTCCTTGACGAGATCGGCAATTCACTGCGGTTAATTTGTGGCGCACACTTTGTGCGTAGTTGCTGCGACCTCATAATATATGGCGGGGTGTGGATCTTTGTTGTTGACGGCAGTGACTGCTTCGGCGTGCTGGACTGCGAGTGGTGCACGGTGGACTCGGACGGGGGCACGGCGCTCGACGCGCCGTACTGCGCCCCCCAAAAAGACTGCTTCGGTGGCGTCGTGGGCGCCCGCAGCCCCTACGCCGAAGGGAAAGGTGGTGAGCAGGCCCGTGACGATTCTTCCTCGTGCGAACCAACACGATCGAGAAATTACTCGACCGGGAAACGGACTTGGCCGCATAGTGACTTGGCCGGAAAGTGACTGGGCCAGAACCGGACCCGACGTTGCCACAGCCCCCCGCTCGCTCGCTCGGACAAGCCGATCGGCTCCCGTGGCGCAATCCGAGGCGGGGCTGCGTTTTTCCCGTCGCGACCCAGCTCTGGCCACGGCTGGCCGTGGTGGCACCGTGTTGGTTTAGGTCCCGTGGGATCTGCGACTTTGCCGGGTTTAAAAATGCCTCCTCCTTCGGAGAGTCGTCAATGACCGTGTTTACGAAACGCTTGTCGACGGGCATCCATTGCGTCTGTGTGTCTGGGGCGCGAGGCTGAGCGGCCGCGGTGTGTGTGTCTCCCCCGGGGCAGCCGTGGAGGACGCCGGGGCCCTGGGGGCTGTGAAGAGCGCCCCCGTGGGACCCGTGGCCGGGGGCATCATGGGCGTCGTCATGGTGGTGGTGCTGGGCATCTACGCCTACCGCCATCAGAAGCAGCGGCAGCGACACCAGCACATGTCCCCGCTCGCCACGCAGGGTCAGTGCACCTCTCCTCCGCCGCACCGTTGCCATAACGACTATGACCACAACGACGACAGGAGGGTTCATGTGATGATAATAATAATTGTATTCATCTTCTTGGTCCTTTCGGTAAAGTCGTCCTCAGGTGAAGAACAGGGCTGTCTTTCCGACAGCACTGTTCTTCACCTGAGGATGGCTGCTTGCGTTGTGGCCGAAACGGCAAGAGAATTGTATTTTATTATGTTTTATTCTTTTATTTTTTCCCTTCTACATGACTTTACCGAAAGAACCAAGAAGATGAATCCCTGCAGTCACGAAAGCTTTAAATGGAAATAAATGTATTGTGAAGTGCCTTGCTTCTTGCAGCAGACAACTCGGCATGACGACGGCTCGTGAAACCAGACGCTAATAGACGGCTAAATAATCAAATAAATGCGAAAAACCTTTTTTATTAATCAACCATAAGTCGAACGAAACAGGAAGTGCGTGGATAAATGTTCACGGGGGTAGATCCTGAGATCTCGCAGGAGAGCGTTCCAGATTCGGCGAGGGGTACTGGCGACTACACGGTGAAGGAGCTCGGTCGCTCATAGGCCGAAGCCTCCATGACCCGAGAACGCAGAGATCTGAATCCCACTCCACAGGCCTTTTAGGAGATTTGAGAGGACGTGTGTGTGTGTGGGGTGTTGCAGCATTTTACTCCCAGAGTGAAGGCGCAAGTTCATAGCCCCACGGAATAACGACGCTAATTAAAATAACCTTGCGAGGCTGGCGAAGAGGCCGGACCGAACCGACAGTAGGCGGAGAGAGGGGACCTCTAGGGTTTTAGAGACGTGGCCTCTAGACGTGACGGGTACATCCCGGGGGGAGGGGAACCATGTCGATGTTTGGTCAAGTCGAAGGAGAGCGAGAGACTTAAGCTGGACAGACAGCGTTGCGAAATGTCACCGGGAAGACCGTACGCCGAGCTAATAGGTAAAGGCGTTGCCCTGCAATTGCCGTCTCCAGTCTGCTGCTGGAGGAAGGACCTGCACAAGAGGGGGGGGAGCTCCCAGTGGTGTTTTTGGCCTACTCTTTGACGCTGTTCAGACGTGTCGGAAGGCGTGGGGACTAGGCCGCACCCGGGACGCTCGTGAATAACGGCTGGCCGCTATGGTCGTGCGGCTGCGTTCGTGCGTTGTGCGCAGAGATGTCCGTGCGGATGTCGAACATCGACACGGAGCGCGACGAGGACAGCCACGAGGACCGCGGCATCAGTGAGTAGCGTTGCCCCCCCCCCGCGCCACGCGCCGCGCGCCGCTAGTGTCCCTCTGCGCCCGTCCTCGGTTGGGGTCCGCGCGTTGACGACCCGGGGAGCAGCTGGGGGGCCGTCATCCAGCAGCGGTTTAATGATAATGGCTGGTGATGGTGAGCCTGCCGAGATGGGGGGGGGGGGGGGAGTGTTTTTATATGAAGGTGGCACGCGGCAACTATTGAGCCGGGCGAATCTTACGGGGGAGCTCGCGGATCCTGAGCGCGAGCCAACGGAATTCACGAGATTGTGACGATGGCAGCATCCCGCTCGCTCGCAGCACCTGCGCCCAGCAGGATGTGTGATTACACAATGTTTGCGTGGTGTGTCTGCATGGTGGTGTCACTGTGCGTGTGTGTCACCATGTCACTGTGCGTGTGTGTGTCATAGTGTCACTGCGTGTGAGTGTATATGTGTGCCAATGTCACCCTATCACTGCGTGTGTGTCGGTGTCACCGTGTGTGTGTGTTCATCGTGTCACTGTGTGTGTGTGTGTGTGTTCACCGTGTCACTGTGTGTGTGTGTTCACCGTGTCACTGTGTGTGTGTGTTCACCGTGTCACTGTGTGTGTGTTAGTGTCACCGTGTGTGTGTATTGGTGTCACCGTGTCACTGTGTGTGTGTGTGTTCACCGTGTCACTGTGTGTGTGTGTTCACCGTGTCACTGTGTGTGTGTGTGTGTTCACCGTGTCACTGTGTGTCCGTGTGGTGCAGTGGGCCACACTCGCTTCATCGCCGCCGTCATGGAGCGGAGGGCCCACAGTCCCGACCGGCGGCGCCGCTACTGGGGACGCTCGGGCACCGAGAGCGATCACGGTGCCACCCGCTCGCCCGCTCACCCGCACCGCCACCACCACTTGCCTTGCTCGCCCACTCTGATCACCCACCAGCCTTGCTCACTCGTCCAGCGTGCGCCACCACGCCTCGCCCCCTACACCACCACACCCTCTACACTGCCACCACACCCCACCCACTACACCACCGCCGACCACCACCATCTCACCCTCTACACCGCCACCAGCACCACCACACCCTCTACACCGCCACCACACCCCACCCACTACACCACCGCCGACCACCACCATCTCACCCTCTACACCGCCACCAGCACCACCACACCCTCTACACCGCCACCACACCCCACCCACTACACCACCGCCGACCACCACCATCTCACCCTCTACACCACCACCAACACCACCACACCCTCTACACCGTCACCACCATCACCAGACCCTCTACACCGCCACCAGCACCACCACACCCTCTCCACCATCACCACCATCACCAGACCCTCTCCCCCGTCACCACCATCGCCACACCCCACGCTCCACCATACCGTGCGTACCACTCTGCTCAAGCACACTCCCACACCTCACCATTCCCCTCCGGGCCATGCTGCGAGAGCTGGCGCTCACCACCGTGTTCATCAGGCGCTAGCCCGCCCCCCGCCAGAGGGCGCTTGTTCAATCTGGCACAGCTCTTCCCCACGCCTGCAAGCGGCAGCGATCTGGGGGGAGAAAGCGGGGAAAACCTGACTGAGCGACCAAAGCAAGTGCGCGCGCAGATTGCCGAGCGCGACCGTCGTGTCTCCGTGCCGCAGGTTACAGCACCATGAGCCCGCAGGAGGACAGCGAGAACCCGCCCTGCGGCCTCGACCCGCTGCCTCCCATCGGCCTGCGCCTGCCCTCCTCGGGTCGCCGCGGCGACCACCCCGCCGGTCGCTGCGACGACGCCGGCCGTTGCCGTGGAACGCAGCATCACGCCCAGCAGCAGCAGCAGCAGCAGCAGCACCAGCTGCAGCAGCAGCAACAGCAGCAGCAGCAGCTTCAGCAGCAAAACGAGGAGTCGTCTCGTTACCGCGACGATGAGGAGCTGGAGCCGGACACCCCGCCGCAGACGGCCGCCCTCCTCGCCAAACCGTGGGGGGGGGGCGGCGGCGGCGGTCGTCCGCCGAGGCACGGAGGCGGCCACCACCACTTGCACCACCACGGGCCGGGCTCGTCCTCCCGCCACGGCCACTGCCTGCAGGCGGCCGTCACGGTGCACGCCGAGTGCTGACGGTCGCCCCCGGTCGTCTGGCCCGCGCGGCCACCGGTTGGCCCGTCGGGGGCCGCTGCGCGGCCTCCGACCCGCGCTGCCGGGGTCTCTCGGAGCCCTTCGCGCGACGAGGGAGGAGGTGGGAAATCGGCGGTACGGGGGTGGGACCGCTCCGCTCGTCGACCTGTGGTACGCGACGTGTTTGGGGGGAGGGGTGGGGGTGGGGGGTTTGAAGGTGAGGAGGCCGGAACGCAGTACGGCATCCGAATCGGCACCACCACCCGTTGCGCCCGGTGCTGCCGTTCCCCTCTCCCTGCCTGCGTGACATCGTCGCCCATTTAGTGATGTGCGGGCACGCTCGGGGGAGGAAGGGGGCGCCTCGCCGTCGAACGCCTGGCCGAAGGCCGTTGACGGTGGGGAAATCCTCCGGCGTGCAACGGTCCTCCGGTGGCCCCACGGCTCAAAGTCACCGAACGAATGCAAAACAACAGAGCTGTCCGTGGTGCCGTGTGCGGACATCGACTAACTCGGCGAGTCCGGACACGAGGTGAGAAACTTCACCTGTGAAGAGGAGAAACGCCTGCGGAGCAAAAAAGTCGCTTTGAAAATGTGAAATTGTTCTTCGTTGGTAGGCGGCGGAGGTACGCGCATGGTGGCTGTGGTGGTATTATCTGTGGACGTGATACGATTATGATATTGTCGTCGACGAGTGTTTAAACGTCTCCGGATATGAAGTCGAGTTTTTGATGTAGGATAACAAAAGTGTCTCGTGTTAAAAGCCCATCGCACACGCGAGAGTCGCCGTGACGATTCTTCCTCGCGCGAGCGAACACAACCCGGACGATGAAGCAAAACGGAACAGAGTCGACCAGACCGGACCAGATCACAATCGACCGGAACGGATTTAAACCGGACCGGATTGGATTCGACCAGAATGGACCCCCGGCCACAGCGCGAGAGGCACTTGGTTGGGATTGCTATCTCCCGAGAAGTCGACAAGGAAGAAAATGGAAATGAAATGAAGGAAGTGAACACAAATAAATAATGGAACAATGTGACGGGAAGAAAGAAAAACTGACTCTTAAACACAGGCCTGGTACTAAAGTTTTATATTCGATATCCGAGTCACAAGGAGAGCTATTTTATTGAAAAACTCGGCATTTAAAAGCAGAGCAAGGCGACAAGAAGATGATGATGATTATTGTTTGTGTTTTTAAAAATCGCAACTCCCGCGGTAGATTTTCCTCACGAGAGAGTTGCTGTCGCGGCTACGATTAGCACGCCCGAGGTACACAGAACCGGGATGACATCACGGGGAGAGAGGAATAATATTTCACAACACCAGGGGAGGGGACTCCACGCCATCGCATCGCGGACTTGGCACCGTCTTATCAGGGACTCGCCGTGTCCCAGGAGAAGACGGACAAGATTCCCCAGGACAGCAGCTGCCTCGACAAGCCGAGGATCCTGGGAAAATCCACGAACACACATCCCGAGTCGTGGCCGAAGGCGTTCTCCTCCCCCAGGTTCTGACGAGGCGTTGGCCCGCACCAGGTCCGCTCCGTGGGAAAAGGCGCGACGGCATCCTTGTCCGGTGCAGTCTGCCACGGGGGAAGGTGGCCACCTCGACACGCCAGCGCCGGTTGTTGAATCGGTCGCACGCCCGTGTGAGCGGTGAGCGAGTGTGCGCGAGGTGAGTGAGCGTGTGTCTTTGTTTTATCTGTAGTCCTGTGGTAGTTACAGTCACGGTGGAGATGGGTCAGTGGCCGCTTGCGCCTGTGCTGCGCCCCCCGCTAGCCGGCGTGGTGGGTGTGTAGATGCCGATTAACACTGCTCGCGGCACATCGCGGGGTCGCCGTTCGGCACCACGCGGAGAGACTGGAGACCCTGACCCATAACCCCTGGGTCTGTCCCGGTGGACTGCCTGCCGAGCGAGCCTTTGGCACTTCACGGGGCATCCAATTGCACCTAGCCTGGCACAAGCGCCGTGGCGATGTCACCGTCGCTTTAGTGGCGAATGGACGTTGCCGATGTGTTGCGTCCGTGTGGTGCGGGGGGCGGTGGCGGCAGCGCAGTAGTTTGTGGCACCGCTGCAAACTTGACGAGGCCTGAATTTGATTTCTGGCCACCGATGTTAGGTATTCCCTGACCTGTCCTGGGCCTCCCACCTGTAAGTCCACTCGGCCTTGCACGAGTACCGGCTGCAGTGTCTAGGCATCAATACCGGGGACACAAATGGCGTGGGGGGCTGGCTTACACCATCCGCTCGTGCACGTTGCCGGCCTTGATAGGTGTTCGCGAACAAGCACTTGTCCCCAACAGTCGTCCAAATGGGAATATCTTTATTTCGGTCGGCGTATGGATTTGTGCGTGCGTGTAAACCGCGTGTGTGTGCGCATGCGTGCGCGTGCCAGCGTGTATATTAACATGTGCCATTTCTCTGTGGTGCGTATTTTGGAGAACAAAACTGGTGGATATTGATGATGACGATGCGGATTTGTTGGGGCACGTCCTTTGTGTGTTTATTTGTCTCCTGAGTTGCCAAAGTGTGCGAGATTGTTACCTCATTTTCATGAAAAGGCATTGCTATGTCACTTCACATCTCTCGTTCAGAAAAATGTTTTTGTCGTCGTCGGTCCTGTGTTATTTATTCTTTTAATTTGTATTTTATCACTTTACGTGCTTTCTGTTATGTGCCTGCATGTGTTTATATTTTTAATTAATGACTTGACTTGTAAAACGAACCGAGCTCTGGTTTTGTGTTTTGTTTTACCAACTCCTCCGTGCGGAGTTGGCAGGGGAGAGGCGATAATTTGACGTCAGTTTTTTTTTTTTGCCAGATGCTGGCAATGTTGCCGCCAAAACTGACTTTTGTCAAAGCGTGAATTTGAACCCCACCCGGGAGCTTCGATGCGGGGAAATTTTTTTTTTTAAGATTTTCCATAACGTCCCGCCCAGGACTACGATTGTGGGACGATCATTCACGTCGTGAGAGAAAAACGGGGGCGAAAGTCAAAAGTAAAAATCTTCGGTGTCGTAGCGAGATGGTAAAGCTCACTCGCGTTAAGAACTGTTTGGTTGGTAACGTCATCGAAACTCGCTCTCGCCGGCCGGCCAACCTGGCGGCAGGATAAAACCAAGCCCCGTGCATCATATCTGGTATGATGTCATCACCGTTTAACCCATCTGGCAGAGGAAAGAATTATCATGCCCGTTTATTGATTCTAGATTTGAAGCTTTCGTGACTGCAAGGATTCATACTCTTAGGTTTTTTTCGGTAAAGTCACGTAGGTAAAAAATTTAATTAAAAGTTAATAAAAGTAATAATGGAAATAAAATAAAATAATAAATCACGACGTTTCGGAGGCAACACAAGTCTCCGTCATCAGGTGGGACCTTCACAGCTAAAATTACTGCATCAAGTTGATGTTCGTGTTGTTATCGCGTGTTCCAATATAATCGACGCTAACGATGGACTTGCACGTCGGCCCTTAACAAACCACGTGACATTGCTCGCATGTTAAACTTTCGCCGCCGTACGTAGCCAACCGTGCAAATCGGTGGTGCGGGGGAATGACGGCAAACTAAAAATCTGAACCGTCGCCCAGAACCGTAACTCTCTCACGACACCGCTGCGATGTGCTCCGACTCCGGGTTTGAGAATCGTTCTTTCAAAACCGTTTTGTGCATTTTCGCCACGGCCGGACGGCCCGAGCGGTTCGTCTGCCGCCGTCTGCGTTTTAATTTGTTTACAGCGCGAGCCCAGGCGGACGTGCAAATTAAAGGTAGGCGCGCTCACTTTGTCTCGTTTCCACGAAGTCGGAATGCCAAATGTACCGCGATTTAAGGTTTTTACGCCGCCGTTTACCGTGTAACTCCCGCTTGTTTGTTATTTTATGACATGTATGACATTAGGTTCTTGTTTAGCAAGGAGATGGAAACACGGAAAGACCTTGAGCCCCCCCCCCCCCCCGTGTCCCTTGTCTTCTGTCTCTAACTGATCGCGTTTGTAGGGTGTGAGCCCTGTGCAGCTAGTGAGAGTTTTTTTGAACTTAGTGGCGAGCCGCCGATCAATTTCATCCACCCCAGCAAGCCTCAATGGATCGGGATTCCCGGTCAACTAAGCCACTGCGCACATAAGAAATAACAATAACAAAAGCCTCCCTGACTTCCGAGACACATTTTCACGAGGGGTCCTGCATCATCGCAATGTTTGGCCATGAATTCTGTGACGTGAGAGTTTGGCCTCGTGTCGGAGGAGACCGGAGAAAACCTCACCACACAGGGTGGGGGAGCGACACTCGGCACTGCCTTCTCCTGGCCGCACCTCGACTCGACCGACAAAGCCTGGCATGGCCTGGGTGGCGGTCGCCCATCCAAGCACTAGCCAGGCTCAACACCACTTAGCGGATGAGGTTGTTGTGCATTCCAGGCGATCTGGTTATCGGCCATTCGTTTTTCTCGTATGGCCGTGCGGCAGCGCGGTTGATTCTTGGTGCAGAGCCACGGTTCAAACCCGAGTGGACCGCCCTGGTGAATACTGCCAGTCTATTAACCAAACGCGCTTTAGATCCCTTGACGGTGATTTGAAAACTCTAGGGGGGGGGAGAGCGTCGCCAAAGTGGAAACAACAATTCCTCGCACATTTTAACTCGTTGTGGGCGAAGCCACGGAGCAGCTTTTGCCACCGCGTGCTTTGCTGGCAGACGACACCAAGCGAGACGGTCACTGACGGGCGGGACGGGTTCGTCCGATGGCTCTTCGCACGGAGCGTCGTGCGGTGTGGCGTGCCGAGAATGAACACGGGTGGGGGGGGAGGAAGACACCCAACGCTTGGAATTAATTTTCACATTTTTTTTTATTTATCAAAAAAGGATCAAAAACATTTTTTTTAAATGCAGCACATTTGTAAAGTTTTTAAGGTCCATGATTTGTGTCCGTGAGTCAAAAAGTGCGAATGCGCGCGCGATCGGGGAGGGGTGGACGAAAAAAATGTGGCCGTGCCCAAGTTTTTTTTTTTTTGAAGGCCAAACGATTCCGAGGGGTTTCTTGCAGAATCTCTGCCCACTGTCGTCACCCCCCCCCCCCCCCCACTTAGCCCCCCACTTACCCCCCTACCCCCGTCCCCTCCTGCCCCCCCCCCTCTCGCGGTCCCACTGCCACAGGTGTTTGGCCAAAGCCAATGGAGGCAGGTTACCTGATTAATTATTTTTATTCGAGTTATTCCGTCAAAATTATTAATCACGGTTTTTTTTCCCCCCCACAAAATTAAAGCTGAAGGTAGAAGTCCTAATTAAACAGCAGTTTATACATTTTTGCTAAGTCAGTGATTATTAATGAAAGCAGCATTTTTTTGGTAAATTACATTATTTTTTTTATATATAAAAGAGACACTGGGATAAGGAGAGAGAAAAACCCAACGTACGAAAATATATTCCCTATTAATTTTTTGTTTAATTTTTTTGCGTATTTTTACGTTTTGAATTTTTTCCATAAAAAAAGGTGTTTTTGCCGTGTGTGTGTAAATATTCAGCCATTCCCGAGCCAAGTGACGACGAGATATAATATAGATACGTTCAGTAAAAAAACAACATTCTGGCTCTCCAGTCACCTTCAGTGCATCCAACAAGTCCTCGAATTTTAAAAGCAAAATGGTGCTAAAAGTGAAAAGCGAACAACAACAAAAATGAAAAGGCCGGCATGGTTTGAAGTTTTAAAACAACGTTCCAATGTGTGATTTCGCTTCGGGGCGAGCGCCCGTGAAGATGCTGCGGCTGCTGCTGGGCTCTCGTCTTGTGTCGACGACTCGGTTTGTTTGGAGCTCTCAACTCGCACGGTGAGGTGATGGGGGGACGTCTCTTGTGTGTTCGTGTTGGCAAGTGAGCCGGCGAGAATCCGAGCATCTGGCCTGGCGAATGACCGCGTGGAGTCCATGGTTTGAGATGCGAAGAGGTTAGGACTTGCGTGGACACCCATGGACTCCGTTATCTAAGCATGCCCAGTGCGGTTACTGTGTGGTTCACGGTTTGAGAATAGGTGAGTGCAGTTGCACTGTGGGCTGTTATGACTCGCTGTTAGGGTTTGTGATAGAGGCTATGAAAATCTGGCTGGCTCCGTGTGCTGCTGCTGTTCCCCTACCCCTCAATATTTGGCAGCCCCAGACCCATCCTATTTGCTTTTCACTCTTTCGGCGGCCTGATTCACGCAGCATTGACGATCATTTCTGCCCGGGGTTTTTTTTTGCAATCGCAGACACCACCAGAATGCCCCCCCCCCCCCCCCCCCCCCCAGCTATAATGCCCTCAAGCGGGAAGAACGGCGGCGCAACTTTGTCTGCCTGCCGCTTTTAGCGCACCACTTGCAGGATGCGTTCCGCGAGCGCGCACGTACAGTATAAAGAGCCGCGGGTGACGACGACGCAGCAACCACTCGACGGCGGTACAACCCCCCCCCCCACCTCGCCCGTCGAAACCGGCACGAGCGCACGAGGCGTTGCCGCAGGGGTCACGCGCATGCACGACCTCTAAGTTCTCTGCCCCTTTAAAGACCCCCCCCCACACCACCACCACCACGTGCGCTGCCCTTTGCCACAGACATACACCTGCCCCCCTCTCCTCTGACCTCTGGCCCAAAGCGCTCGTCTGTTGAGAGCCGAGTCTAAACACTTTCTGCACGACGCGTCTTATTCTTCTTCTTCCGCGTTCTCCTTTTTTGTTTTTGGCCCTTAGTCCCCGCTTTTATTCCTGCAAAAGTGAACTCGGGTACGGCCAGAAAAACACTCCTAGGAATGCATAGACGCACGAATTTGGAACCTTCAAGGGGCAAAATCATAACAGCAGCATGGATTCCATATTTCAACCGCCCTGCGTCACTGCCATTGCAACAACTCTTACCCACAACCTCCATGTTCCCTACGGTTGCCACCTGTCCTGGTTTTCCCAGGACACCCTCTCAAGATGCAGACTTAATGTGCTACTAAGATGGGAAGGGCTATTATCTGACCTGTCGCCAATCATGTATTTGCTCTTTTTAAAGCCCACAGCGTTATTGACGAATGTGTTTTTTTACTCTGTGCGTCGTCTGTGCAGCAGCATCATCATCATGACCGAATGATCTGTTGCATTCCCACCTCGTTCTCCCCTCTCCTTGGCACTCCGCGTAATTGACTCCTTGCCGGCTATTTGTTTCTCAAAGGTCTACTCCCGACGTCTGCCTCACCCCCCTCCGCTCATGCCATCCCCGTCTTCCCCCTCAGAAACTTGCGTGCCACCCCTCCTCCTATCAGGCAGCCCCTAGGTTGCTCAGGCCCAGAGCGCCCCCATCTGTGGTGGTGGTGCTCGCAAACTGGAACGGTGGGAAGGGGACCCTAAGCAACAAATGATTATACCCACCCCCACCCCCCCGAATCTCTTAAAATTATAAACTCCAAGTGAGATGACAAGCGACAGCGGATGTAGCTAGCTTTAAGTGAAGGATCCGCGACAGATGTGTGTAGTGAGATGGAGAGAGATTTAACTGGCTTGTTGCTCTGTTTATTAGGATATGCATGCAAGCCGATAACGTGGCGCACGTGCCCCCCTTGAGTTGCTTGGGGCCTCGGAGCCGTCGCTGAGTCTGCGTGCGCCCCCACAGCCACCGCTCCCCCCTTGGGCGGCGAGCGCGGTTGCCATTTACAGAGCGTACTGACCCCAAGCCTTGACTTTGGTTTACATATTTTTTTAGGTGAAGCGACGAAACCCGCTGCCCGCAGCGATGGGGCAGAAGCGCGACGAGGGGGAGGCCGAGAGCGCCGGAGGGTCCGTGGCTTCACGGCAATAAATGCCCCTTTTCGACTGGCACATCGGAGGCGGGGGCAGGTGCCCTCTGGGTAATGAGGTTTTTTTTCCCCATTGGTTATATTTTGAAGCAAAGCCAGGCCCGTGCCTGTGATACGCCGACCCCGCAAGACATCTTAATCCGGCTTCAGGGCCAAGCAGGGCCAGAGGTGGCACTAACGATGGGTTAATTGTGCGTCTGACGTCCATCGCCATTCGTCGACAGGAGGGAGGTGTGAGAACTGAGCTAGCCAATGGGAGGTCAGGGTTCACATTGTACCCCCGCCCCCGGCAGGAAAGGTCGGGCACCCAGAATTGAAGAATCAACTTCAGCGGTGGCGGGGGGGGGGGGGTGCCCTGGGGTGGAACAACCCAGAAAATATTTCCCCACACGGCACACCACATCCAGTATACCTCGCTATGGCTGTGGCTTACTACGAATAAATGTGCCACCTACTCTCTAGTCTTACAAGCGATTCCCGAAATACGTTTGGAGAGAGAGGAATCCGGTGGCCGAGGGCGTTGCTGTCACCGAACGAGGGTGTTGGGAGTTCAGGGTATCGCGATCGTACAGTGAAACACCTTCCCCACCACCACCACAACCCGTCCCTTCACAGCTTAAGCGCGCTTTGTTATAGTGGGCAAGGGTCCGTGAACATCGTGCCACGCGTGGACACGCAGGCGAGTGCAGCAGAGTTAAATGTTGATGGGTGCCGGCCACTGGCGTGAAAACTGGTTGCGGCTTCTAAATTATCGTTGTTGTCGTCATCGTTTCATGAAGGCAATCTAGTCGAAGTTCAGGAATCTGGCCTTCTTTGCTGCTGCCACCACTGAGTCTTGCCCTGCTGCGGTTTGTTTGTGTTGCATTTTCATCCGCGCGTAGATTTGAACCACGCGGCGGTGGGAGGGTTGCCAGGCTACGCGGACCAAAAATCCAAACAATATTTACAGGTGCAGTTCCGTCGCAGCGAAAGCTGCAGGGAGAATCCAGGTTCCAGCGACGCTAAAAATCTGAAGCCCGAAACTCTTGACAAGGCAACGGAGAAGCCCTTGAACACACGGCAAGCGAGCGCTGCTCACCACCATCCTCCTAACGCAACGGCGACATAAAAAAAAAGTGTCCGTCGTAACGACAGACAAAGTCTGGCAGACTGAACGTGGCCCCCGCCTGCAGAAGGAGGCCATGGGTGTTGTGCTGCAGACAGCGCTCCTGCGTGACGAGCTGCCGTCTTAGGGGTGGGGGGGATGGCTTTAGCTTTTTTCAGGGTCCGCAAACATCCGCTCGTCGGGGCGACGGAGACAAGGCGAGTGCAACCCTTGGCTTCGTTCGCCCGCCCTCCCTCTCGCCGCAACGACTCCACGCCGGGCATCTCCTCCACGGTGGCACCACGCGCCGGCCCCATCAGCCGCGCGGGTTATTGTCGCGGATGCTGTCGATGCGCAGCAGGAGGTCGCGGAAGCCAGGCCGCTGCGGTGGCTCCGTGTGCCAGCAGTCTAGCATGATGCGGTACACCTGGCGGGGTGAGGATGTGGACGCACGCACACAGACACGCACGCTCCATCAGACAACGCGCTCTGGCATCGGCAGAGGAACCCACAGTGGTCGGAAAAGCACGAGTCGGGTGGCCATTTTTTTTTCCCACCAACACAGCCGAGCCGAGCCAGCGCTGGGCCCTCATGGCAGGGAGTGGTTTTTCACTGCCTGGAACCGAAAGTTGCGCTACGGCTGTCTCGCAAAAAGGACATCTGGCTCGGGGCCAAGCAGGGCCAGGGGGGTAATGACATATGTAGGTAATATTGAACTTCTTTCGCACCGTGCATAGCCAAACATGCTAATCGCAGGTGCTGGGGCGGGACAACAAACTATATGTTGAACTTCTCTGGTTTATTGCGTGCGACGCAGGTCAAAGTAGTGGGGAAAGTGCCAAGAAAAAGAACGATGGTGACCGATGATCAAGGCAACAATCCCCAACGCCGTTGACGCCATCGTCTGTGCGTGCGTGCGTGCCTGAGACAGAGGCGAGGGGGAGCAGCGGCAGATGGAAGAATGAACGCGGCCAACACAAACCCCCAAGCGGTGTCGTGTTGAGGGGGGCAAATGTGGAAAATACCTTTGGACATTTGTGGTGGGATGCCCAGCTGAAAACACAACCTGCTGTCTCGCTGGATGTATTGCCTCTGGCTTAGGTGCGCGTGACCCGACACGTGGTTGGGCACTGATCGCGTGGAACGTGACCTTTTCGACCCAAGCGCCTTTCTCGCACGACCCCCAAACAATTGATCCACTGCTGGATTGCCATCTCTCACGGTCTCAGGATTGCAATAATCTACCTCTCGCCAGACGCGATCCCTGATGCGTGCCCTCCTTCGGCTGCCACTCTGTGGCCAGTGTTGACCGCCGGCAGGGCAATGAGCCCTTCTCACCACTGGTCCTGCCTGAGCCTGCTCAATTTTCGTAACAGTCAGCAACATCTTTTTGGTTCTTTCGGTAAAGTCACGTGACTTTACCGAAAGAACCAAGAAGATGAATCCCTGCAGTCACGAAAGCTTTAAATCGAAGTCAGCAACATATCTACGGGACCTTTTTTTTGCCAGTTGGCGTGGTCTACCTGTGGTCGCGTGGATTTTTCTCCGGGTCCTCCATTTAGTGTATATGGCTGCTATAAATTTCCACGCGATAAGCCACTTTGAGCGATCATTTGTGGCCAGGTCGCTTCTGAAAAAGGGCTACACAGCTCAGCGGGCCTTACCCGGTCAAATAGTTAACAGCTTCAGAGTTTAAGAAATGCGCCGAACGTTTCCGACGAACACTAATGCCCCCTTGCGTGCGTGTGAGTGGGCACGCGCGTGTGGATGCGTCCGTGTGTGCGCACACGTGCGTGCATTCGGAGGGTTGCTCACCTCCTCGGGGCACTCGGTGGGCCGGGGAAGCCGCTGCCCGTTCTTGAGCAGCTCGATGAGCAACACGACGGCCATCTGGCCCTGCTTGGCGCCACCCATCATCCGCATGAACTCCTGCGAGCAGACAAAGACAAAGGGGCCCCCACACCCCCCGTGGTGTAGCCTTTAACAGACTGTTGGGACAAGTGCTGCTAGCGACCCAGCACCGACACCGCGCCCGGCCTGCCTCCCTTGTGGCAACGTGTACACGCCGCACGTGGAACTCGTAAAGGATGCGTCGAGCTAGGGGAGAGGCCCAGGACCGGCTCCAGATAATTCGTCACTGGTGATCGGGAATCGAACTCGGGTCACCGCCTCTGTAGCACAGTGCAGTAAACTACAACGCTACCACTCCCTGCCCCCCCCTCCCCCGTGTGAGAGGGAGCACATGCAAGCTTTGCGCATGCAAACACCGGCATCAAATTCCAACCGACGCACAACGGGGGGGGCTGAAAGTCCAAACGAGCGCCTGCGCGTTTTGGCAGCGCAGACAATGTACCAAGTGTTTTTCTCAGAGTCCATAAACCACATTTATTGCCCTTGCTTTACTTCGCCATCATCATCACGTCCGTCTGCGATCGTGACTGATCCTTTGAAGTGTTTGGGGGTTGGGGGGGGGGCAATAGAAGTCGAGGAAGAGGGAGAGCGAACGCTGGGAATCGTCTCCCATCCATGGCATGCCCCAGAATGCCCTTGGTGTCTGCTGGACTTTGGTCTGGAGGCCACTGCTGAAGCGGCCATGACGGTGGTGGAAGCCAGGCGCTCGGGACAACGTGTGCCCCCCCACACACCCCCACACACACACACCCCCACATCCCCCCAACACACACACACACACCTACCCCCCACAGATCACCCTCCCCCCTCGATTTGCACCAACCGGGTTGTTCACCAATGATAAACCGGTAACCATTTTCAGAATTGGTTACCGGTTCACCAATGATAAACCGGTAACCATTTTCAGAATTGGTTACCGCTTTCGAAAGCCAGGAGCGGGAAACCATGCTTCTAGTGGAATGTAAGTGAGTCACGCACGGACCGGCACGCTCAGATGTACAGACGGCACTGTGGCTCATGTACCCCCCCCCCCCCTTGCGTCCCAGTTCAAAGGTAAAGGTGCGGCCCTGTAAACTGCCGTGCTCATGCCACTGCTGGTGGAAGGGGGTGAGGTGGTGGGGGTGAGGCAGTGAGGTGTGAGGGTGTGGCACAGAGGTCGCAAACGGGTTTTGATTCCTTACCTGGCCGCACCAGGGTCGCAAATGGGTACCCGTACCTGTACCCGTACGGGTACCCGGCTGGGTACGGGTACCCGTTGCCTACCCGTACCCGTTCCCTACCCGAAATGAGTGACAAACGGTTACTCACCAGTGACTCACGGCCTACCCGTACCAGGCCGCACCAGGGTCACAAACGGGTACCCGTACCCGTACCTGGCCGGGTACGGGTAGCCGGGTATCGGGTAGGGTACGGGTATCGGGTACCCGGTTGCGATCTCTGGTGTGGCAGTGAGGTGGTGAGGGTGTAGGGGTGAGGCAGGCAGGTAGATGGTGAGGGTGTAAGGTGGTGAGGCTGTAGGTGAGGCTGTATTGGGGTGAGGCCCCACCTGTGGAGGGCTCTTGTTCTTGTCGCTGTAGGTGAACAGCTCGTAGAGGACGACGCCGAAACTCCACACGTCGGACGCCGCCAGGAACTTGCTCTCAATCAGCGACTCAAGCGCGTACCTGGGGGGGGGGGGGGGGGGGGGGGGGTTTGGCGTCACCATCGGCCGTGATCTATCCACTGCTGGAGGAAGGCCCTCCCCAAACAACTGCCGGCTCGGATAGAGGCCTTTGCCAGAACCGCTGCTCGTGGGTGGACTTCTCCCTGCCGACGACGATTGTCATCGTCGCGCGCACAGACGGCACTCGGAGGGGGGGGCCGTGGGGGGGCCATGGGGGGGGGTACGAGGTGGCGGCAACTTGGGGCGATGGCTCACCAGAAGATTGGGCTCTCGCCGGGCTGCTGGACCTTGTAGTATTCCTTGCCCTGGGGGATAACTTTGGCGAGGCCGAAGTCGCCGATCTTCACCTGCGTGTGGCTCTGCACCAGGATGTTGCGCGTCGCCAGGTCGCGGTGGACGCAGCGCCTGGTCGTCAGGTAGTCCATGCCCTGGGGGTGGGGGCGGTGTTAGACGTCAAAACTCATTGCTTGTTTTGTTTGCCAAGGTTGCGGTGGAATCGGACTCGAGAGAGAGACCAGGTCGCAGTCTCGTTTACGAGCCTGACCTGGGTCAAGAAAACGATAAAAGCTGTAACAAAAAAAAAATGGAGCAAGCAGAAATCGGAGTAAAAAACGACCGCGTCACGCTCCGCCAATTATTTACTTAGAGCGTTTGGTTTTTAGCGTGCGGTAGGACACTGGAGTGCCCAGACAAAACCCACGCTTCAGCGAATAAGGAAAGAAAAAAACTCTGCATGAGAACGGATAAGCAACATATTTCCTGTACTGCCTTCTGTGGGGAGATCTCAAGTGTAAGGTTACGGGCCCGATTCACGACGGACGTTCACTTTTGTCCGACCATTGGCAAAAACTTGTCCCGTCAGGCGCGTTGCCCAAAAGATCGCTACTTTAAAAGCCGCACACCAACAAAGTTGTTGGTCCTTGCCCTGCACCTCTGACTAGCGCGGTTGTGGCTACACCAGGCCTGGCACGAGCAGCACGGCAACGTCCCTGGTCACCGGGTGGCAGTGCCGTCACCACGGTAGCGTCATCATTGCTCGCGCAAGCGTCCGTTACCTTGGCGATCTGCGAGGCGAACATGAGCAGGCACTTCTGGTCGGTCTTCTCGCGGTAGTGAAGCAGGTAGTCGCGCAGGCAGCCGAAGGGCAGGTACTCCATCACCAGCTTGAGGCTGCGCCCACCTGCGCAGAGCGAGACACGCGGGTCCCGTTGGGGCGGGCGGGCGGGCGGGCAAGCGGGCGGGCGCCACCCGCAAGCGCCCCGCTCGGGTCGACTTGGCGCCACGACGGAGGCCGGCGGTGGCGGCCTCCATCGCCGTTCGCAGCGCGCAACCCGCTGCTCTCCAACACGGCTGACTGGCCCCATACAGCAAAGCGGGCTGGACGACTCGAGGGGTCATTCTGAAAGGGATCTCAGAAGGAGTACTGCGCTACCTGCTATCCGTGGGCCACTCTGTCCTGACCAACATTTGCCTTTGGTGTCGCTGTGCGGCGAGTATGGATTCCGCCTTGAGGAGTGATTTTTACCCCCTGCCCCGCCCCTCTGTTGCGTGGCACCTGGACCCCCTCCACCCCCTCCACCCTTGGTCGGCAGCAACAGTTGCACCGCCTGCGCACTCGGCTGAAGACTGAACTCTTTTAATCAGCCATCGTTTGGCTCTGTGAGCAACCACGGCCGTGTTCTTGATTACAAGGCCCCATGGCGCCACTGAGCGGCCCCCTAGTGACCTTCAGTGTGCCCCCCCCCCGACACACAAATGTAAAAACATTCCCCCCCATTATTGTCATGCTGCTGTCAAACCCCAATGGATTCTAACGTGTGGCGGCCCTCGCAACTGCCGATGTCTTGTTGATGAAAGTGGGGCCTCCCCAAACCCCCCCCCCTCTGAGAATCCGTGAAGACCACTGCGCCGCGCTGCGATGAACGCCTGACCCACTGGCGCGACGTGGTTGATACGGGCCACCGCCGCAAGGAACGACACGAAATGGGCTCTCTCCCCGCACTGATCCGCTCCCCCCCCCCCACCCCTTTGTCCGACTTCCCCCTCTCTTCATTTGCACCGCCTGCACACTCGACAGCTCTCCCCACTCGGCGCTCACCGGTCCCGCGGCAAACGCCGAGGTACTTGACGATGTTCTCGTGGTGCAGGGACTTGAGGATCTCGATCTCCTTCTCGAAGTCGGCGTTCGACTGCTCCGGGTTGCCCTGCAACTTCTTGACGGCGACCGTGTCGCCCGTGTCGTCTCCCAGGCGATCGTAGCGGCACAGCTCCACCGTCCCGAAGTTCCCCTTTGAGAGGGACCGGGGGGGCGGGATGCAACGCAAATCAGAGGTCGCAACCGGGTACCCGATACCCGGCTACCCGTACACGGCCGTTTGCGACCCTGGTGCGGCCAGGTACGGGTAGGCCGTGAGTCACTGGTGAGTAACTGTTTGTCACTCATTTCCCAACGTCTTGTCTCTTCTCACAATTCAAGTTCCGAGAATCAACCCACCCGCGCCTGCAACATGGCTTCATCCCAGAGGTCGCAATCGGGTACCTGATACCCGTACCCTACCCGTACCCGGCCGGGTACGGGTACGGCTGGGTTAGGGTGCGGGTACCCGTTTGCGACCCTGGTGCGGCCGGGTACGTGTACGGGTAAGGAATCAAAACCCGTTTGCGACTTCTGACACAAATGAGTCGCCAATAACCTTGCCGAGGAACGCGAACCATCACGCAAACTCCGGGTCACCATCACAGCAGCGGCGGCTTTTGGCTGGCCATCGAACAAAAACGGTCGCCACGTCGCGCGCTTTCCGATGCGCTTCTGTGGTGGCCGTCTGGAACGCTCTTCCGAAATTAGGAAGCCACTGGAGCTTATGCACTTTTAAAGCTATATTGGACGACTCGTGTTTTAGTTTGTTGTCCTTCCCCCACACCTCCGATTAGTACGGTTGGCTACGTACGGTGCGAAAAAAGTTCAACATACAGATAGGTTCAAGAATCTGTTGCTGTACTGTGGCAGTCTCGTGGCCATTCTGTAGCCCAGGCCCACAAGCACCACTCGGTTGCATTTCTGCGTGGAGTCGGTGTGTTCGCCCCCTGTACTGCAGGGAGCGAACACACACGACAGCCAAATCAATATACTCCCAGAGCTAAAAACACGGAACAGCCGCTGGTGTTGGCCAACCATCCCAACGCAGCAGCACCCGCGACACCGACAGCACGCCGGGAATAAAATTGTGGCCAAATAACAAACACATTTGCATCTATCATACGTATGGCGTGTGTATAGTGAGTATTGTGCGTATCGCGTCCGTACCGCTCCCAGGATGCGTATGAACTTCAGGTAGCGATCTTCGAACGTGTTCTGGTCCTGCAGGCCGGTCCACGCCGGGTAGGCAATCACCGGCTCCTCCGGCTTGCGATCGTCCTGCAGGGGCAGCACCTCGTACCCTGGCACACGGAGATCGCGCGGCGACACGGGCATCGTCAAGCCACCCTCGCGCCCGAGCCATCGGTTGCGGGCGACCAAATCGCGCAACTCGGATCATCGCCCGCGACTGGTTTGCCCGCCGTTTTGGAGACCCATAGACATTCGTCGACCGACGGGCGATTTAAACTGGGCTCTCAAGTGGAGTGCAGGTGACGCTCTTAGTCAAGTCACCAGTCACTCGCATCGACCCCCAGGGGCTCGATCAGACCGAGTTGTGAATAGAGCACGTTAAGTACGTTCGGTTCGGCAATTCACTTTCACGATTTTTAAAAAAATATTACTTTGGCTGTCATGCGACGAACATGACTCTCTTATGTTAGGGTGGGTAGCCGATTGCTACCCCCCCCCACCCATACTGCGTCGACTTGAGGTCACTTGAAGGGATCTCGGCAGTAGCTCTGCGATGTCCACTTCCGTGCCCTCCGATTAACACCAAGGGTCGTACTGCTCCGCGAGATTTCCAAGTGCATTCATCATCTCGGGACGACGGAATACGGATCGCGCGATCGCACGACGGGGAGAAAACCCCGGGGGGGGATCGGCCCCCACACCGCGCTCACCTGAGTTGATGAGGCTGTTGAGCTCCCGCACGACCGCACGGAAGGACGGACGCATCTCGGGGTCATAGTTCATGCACCTGCTGATCAACTCGGCCAGTTCGGGCCACGACAGCTTCCCCAGCTGCTGCCGCCGCGCGTAGAAGTTCACCTTCTGCTCACGCCACACGGGGACGCACACACACACAGATCGCTCGCATGTTGAGCTGGGGCCGAGCCTGGCTCGTACTCGGAATATGAAGACCGCCTTGTGTGCAATAGGGTGATGTGTGCGTGGGCTGCGAGGAAGCCATGGAGATGGCAGTGCAGAGATGGATTCTCAAATCTATCTGTGTGGGGCACGGCGGGTCTGTTTCTGCATGCGCGTGCGAGCGTGGTGGTGCAGCGGTTCGCGCGCTGCGCTCGGAACCTCGTCACCAGAGTTTTATCTCCCTCCAACGCCTCGCGCTGTGCGCCATGCTGCCCGTAGCAGGCGCTGCCTGGCGGCGCAGTCTGGATATAGCCTACATGGGAGGTGCTTGCGCCCCTTTTTCCACTGCACAACCGAGCCGCGCCAGGCGCCGTGCGCCGAGCCAGCCCAGAGTGGCTCGGGAGGCGCCCGCTTGTTTTTCCACCACGGGACACGAGCTGTGCCACCGATGCTGCAATTAACGCGCGACGATCCCCGCCGCTTGGCCCCAAGGCAGGTTTGGTAAAAATAAAAAATCTGTACTGCGATGGGCCCCCCCCCCCCCCCCCGCCCGCTGGCCAAGCTTACAGACACATGCCGCGTGGACAGGACGCGCTCACCTCCTCGCGCGTCAAATTGTGCAGCGGGCGCTCCCCCTGCATGCAGATCTCCCACAGCGTGGCGCCGTAGCCCCACTTGTCGGCCAACAGGCTCAGCCTCCGCGGGTCCTCCAGGCACTCGGGCGGCAGGAAGGGGATGCGCTCCTCGCGGTCTGCCAGAGGCACGGCGACAAAACGCGCGACGGGCTCGATCTCGCCCCGGGGATGTGCGCACACGCGGGGGGGCACGACGTGGCACCGTGACTTGCCGTCCACCCCCCTCCCCCCATTGCTCTTCCATCCTCGGGGATGCGACGCCGATCACCGCCCCGTCAGAAGAGGCTTGGGCAAAAAGCCAAGGAGAGTTTTGACTTAAAACTTTCGTGACTGCAGGAATTCAGATTCTTTGGTTCTTTCGATAAAGTCACGTAGATAAAAAAGAAAATGAAAGCTAAAAAACCACGACGTTTCGATCACAACACAAGCGTTCCTATCTACATGACTTTACCGAAAGAACCAAAGAATAACCCAGGAGAGAGCGGAGAGCAGCGAGGCTTGCAGATTACCGCAGAGCCCCCCCCCCCCTCTCCCCCCACCCCCGCCCCCCCCTCAGGTGGATCGTCTTACACCGCTAATGCGGCCGCCTACATTTGTGGCCATCGGCAGCGCAACACTTTCACATCGCCGTCATGTTCTTGGCGAGAGAGAGGAGAGCGGGGAAGAAATAAAAAAAAAAACACGCGTTTACGAGCCGGAAACAAGCCTGCTAATTTTATTTTTGTGTGGGTGACGGCGCCAAACGGGAGGCCGCTGGCGGCACCGGGCCGGGTCGGGCCGGCATGGCACAGCCCGCGCGTTCGACACCCGCAGGGCGGCGTGCGTCTAAACTATAAAACTATATTGCCAGGTAAGGCCCACCGAGCTTTATTGCTCTGTTTCCGACGTGACCTGGCCACAAACGATAGCTCAACCAAGTGGCTAATCATGTGGAAATGTATAGCAGCCAAATACTCTAAAGGCATCGAGCCCATAGTTAACATCTTGCCACCGGCATTCTCCGCGCACGTGACCGCAGAATGCAACGGGCCCCCAACCCCCTATCTGAGGTTGTCGTTATCGTTTTCAAACCACGCCTCCCACACGTGTACATCGTTTGTGGCGATCGCAATTGTTGTCGTCTGTCGGTCTGTGACCCAAATAGGTTGGTAATTCTGTGCTAAGTTCATGTAGCAAGGGCCAAGCTTGCCGACTGCCCGCAACCCCCACCCCACCACCGTCCGTAACCTCTGCCCGGCACCCGGCTTCTGCCTCGTGCCCATGTCTGGCAACACTAGCCAGGACATTGGCAGGGCTGGGGCCGTGCCCGCTTGCCCATCAAGGCCTCCTGTCGCCACCGGATTACAGGCGGCGGCGGGGCCAGTCAGAGGTTTCCGCGTGACTCGTTGGTCAGAGACGCTGAGCCAGCACTTGTGAGATCCTCGATTTAGCCGCTGCGCTATTAAACTCGGTCCTCGAGTGTAGCGAGTTGATGGCCTTGGCTCGGTCACAGCGGCTTACGTCGACGTACGTGCAACGGACACTTATCGGGGCACGTAACGGGCATAGTGCCGCTAAGTGCGTTAAACGAGGCCTGTTAAAATAGGCTTCAGAAGTAGTTCCGTGACATCGTCTTCCGGGGCTGTTCTCGGACACTCGGCTTCTGTCACTTGATTTGGACTATTTGCAGCTATCGCGCAATTGGCAGCTCGAAGCACGGTGGCCACCCTGGTTAACACTGCGGGCACGTTGCCGTGGCCGTCAACGGAACGAGTGACGTCGCTGGACAAACGGTCGGCTGCGCGCCGGCGTCGCGGCCTAAATCTGAGCAAGTTTTAAAACTACTCGCAAATATACTCGTTTCGTTTAAGCTCCGCAAGCAACATCGGCTCCCCTCCCGTGGAACTACGGGGAGACTGTGAAACGTAGCGACCTTCCCATTATATTAGCCTCGTGCTATCAGAACGGCCATTTGGATGCGAACGCCGGCGTGACCGTCGGCATGACGGCAACGCCGTGACCGCGAGGGGGGCGGCTCCGTGACCGCGAGCACTTGCCTTCCTGCGACAGCGCCGTGATGCTGACTCCCGGGTCGCTGAGCTTGATGAACGGCTGCGTGTGGTCCCGGGCGTTGCCTTCCCTGGTGAGCAGCACGTTCTTGGAGCACACGTTCCCATGCACCATGCCCTTGTCCTCCTGCTCGCCGATGGCGGTGACGAGAGGGAGAGAGCGCGGGAGGGGGGGGGGTTACAAAGGTGAGGGCGTTACTACTGCCACCGCCGCCGCCGCCACAGCCGGTGAACATCACTGGGTGACGTCAACGATCAAGCGAAGCCTCTCCGTTGTGCTGGTTATCGTAGGAATCAATTCAACGGGATTATCGTAGGAATCAATTCAACGGGGCCCTAATGGTGGCCGTACTGTGGGGCTCATCTGCTCCACCACGCCCCGGGTGATGTCATTTGTTGTCGTCAGCGTCTGGGTTATTTGGCGGTCGGAGCTCTCGCCACTTGGCAGGTTGTGCCACGGCGGGTCAACAGTTCGCTTTCCAGCGCCATCTGTTGCTCTCCGTCGGCGGGTAGTTGGCGGGGCCTGCGGACGGCCACGCGGGTCGGTGTCGCGGGGGGAGGGAACGCGGTCGGCCGCCATCGCTGCCCGCAGCCGTCGTGGCCGCAGCGGCAGGGAAACGTCGCGCAAAAGAATCGAGGAGAATAATTACACTGGTCACACTTTTTCTGGCATAAGGTATTGCAACGGTTTTAAGGGAATTTTTTTAAGGGTGCTGATTCCAAATCTGGCCTCAGTTTTTGTCTATCCTATCAGGTGTTTAAGATATCAAATATTGCATTTTCAATAAAAACTGCAGAAGAAAAATATTAATAAATGTGGATATCTACATAAAATGATATTATAAACACACTATCCTAAAAATCCAGCACCATATTTTAACACTAAAGCAGTCACTCACTCACAACAAATTGCAATCATAAGTGACAGAGTTAATTTCGGGTAAAATCAATGAAAATGGGGTATGCCGATAGCATAAAAATGAGATGTGATGGAGCAAATCTGAGATAAGATTTGGAATCAGCACCCTGAAATTAGTCTAAAACAGCTGCAAAAGTCCAGGCCAGAAAAACAATTTTTTGTTTGTTGACCAGTGTTATAATTATTACGAGTAAATCATTATTATCGCCACAAAGGATCGTAGGACTCTTTTTCCAGGAAGGTGCTGCATTGGGTTTTTATTTTAAGATATTTTCAGCCAATTATTGACGAGTTGTGTTTTTTTTCCCAATTGTGGAAACTGGAAAACCCGGAGAAACCCCCCAAAAGCCTTGCACAGGGTCGGAGGGGGGGGGGGCAACGCTCTATCCCCGTACAGATGGAATAAACAGATAGCGACGCGTCCACTTGCTGTGCTGCCTTCTCCTGGTGATCCATCAACCCTCGCTGCTGCCTTCACAGTGCCGGATTACAGGCAGCCACCACCACAGCCCGGAGATTTGATTTTTTTTCGTACCTTCCGATTACTCAGGCCTCCCGCAGAGAAGAGGTCACTGAACCCAAGTCAGTTTGTGCCGGATTGAATAAAAGATGATGTATAGGCGCGCGCGCGTATGTATGCGTGTGTCCGCGTACGCGAGTGTGTATGTGTGTGCGCGTGTGCACGTACGCACGTACGCGAGTGTGTGCGTGTGCACGTACGCGAGTGTGTGTGCGTGCGCGCGTGTGCGTGTATGTGTGTGCGTACGCATGTGTGTATGTGTGTGCGTACGCGAGTGTGTATGTGTGCGTGTGTGCGCGTACACGTACGCGAGTGTGTATGTGTGTGTGTGTGCGTACGCGAGTGTGTATGTGTGCATGTGCGCGTGTGCGTGTACGCGAGTGCGTGTACGCGAGTGCGTGTACGCGAGTGTGTATGTGTGTATGTGTGTGCGTACGCGAGTGTGTGTGTGTGTGCGTGTGTGTGTACACGTACGCGAGTGTGGGCGCGCATGCGGCAGAGAGTAGCGGTCGGCTTGCCACGAAATCGGCAATCCGAGTTCGATTCCCCACTCGCGAGCCAAACGCATCAATGTCGATTAACCGAACCGGTCCTGAGCCTCCCCTAGGCCAACTCGGCCTTAAATAAGTACCTGATGGGGGTGTGTAAAACATCACCACTGTGGAGGCTCAGGTGGGCCCGGGTGGGGTGCTGGCCAAATGGCCACCTCGTGTGCCGTGCCGGCCTAAATAGATGTCCGCAAACAGCCCCGACAGTCAGTGTATACACGCGCGTCGCATCTCACCAGGAAGCTCATGGCGCAAGCAAGCTGCTTGGCGACCTGCAACCGCCAGCTGAGCGCTAGCGCGGACTGGCGGTGGCGCTGCAGGTAGGTGTCCAGCGAGCCGAAGCGCACTTTCTCCAGCACCATGACATCTGCGAGCAGCGAGCGACGGACAGCACACACACTCTCTCCAGTCAAAGCGCCGTTCCCCCGGCCGCCGGTACGAACGCCGTCGCCTCTCTCCAAGTCCACAGCGTGGCCCAATCGAAGGCCCGACCCTGATGGAGTCTGGCCAGACTTTCCACAGTTGCTTGCCAGGCTCCGATTTCCGACTGCCCTCTCGGGCCGAATGTCAACAACAACAACAACGCCAGCCAGACTTCTTAGAACGTGGGAAAGTGCTTTTTTCCGTACTTTAGAAGCCAGAGAATGTATCAAGGACACATTCCTGAAGGTTACACCATGCACAAACAGCAAATAGTGTGCAGGGCGGATATTCGACGGTCGATTATGTGACGTTGTACTGCAAAACATTCCTCGCCCCACCCCCAACCTCTCCTTTCAATGCCCCCCACAAACCCTTTCCACCTCACACTGTGCCTTTCCTGTTGGGATTGTTGCCGCGTTGAACTATTCCCTTTCCGGTTTTTATTTTTTTATTTACCATACGCACGAGCGAGCGAACGGCTGAGCCAACAGCCGTCAGCATCCGCCCCGCGAATGTCGACTTTCCAATCCCAAGCGAGCACGACCTTAAAGCTGGCGACGGTCGGCAGCCGGCGTGGAGGAGGACGGAGGGAGGGAGGGAGGGAGGGAGGGGAGGGGAGGGGGGGGAGGGGAGGGAGGGAGGGGAGGGAGGCTCGCTGCGTCGTCGAGTTTGGCAACGCTCGCTCATCGCTAATCGCTCGCTCCCCGGCCACAAGGGTTCGTTCGAAGTCCGCCGTGAAGCCGTCGTGCTTGCTCTAAAGCGTGACTGATATGCAGCGCGGCAGACTGCCCGTGGCACCGCCAGTGGACAATTTCGATAGGAAGGAGGCAAAAGAAGACAAGGCGGTCGGGGGGGGGGGGGTGGCGGGAAATGTGCCTGTGCGTGACACGTCCGTGCGTGAGCGAATTTACGGGCGTGTGAACGCACGGGGGCGCGTGTCTGTGCGTCTGTCGTTGCGTCCGAGCAAGTGAATGGGTGTGGCGCTGAACAAACATTCCCAATCGTCCGCAGTCAGTTAAAGGGGAAGGCTATCATCTTTGTCTCAGTTTGCACGTAAGTGTACACACGCGTCGTCATCGGGAGCGGGGGGGGGGGGGCGGCACAGTGGCGAGCGAGTTCTGAAGCCGGTGATGCGAGTCCGATTCCCGCTCGCAGCCCGTGACTAACTATGTATGAACCTGTCCTGGGGGCCTCGCCTCGGTCAATGCAGCCTCGAATGAGCACCTGGTGCAGTGTGTAAACATCGCCACTCGAAGAGACAAAGATGACCGGGAGTTGTGTTGGCCACCCCACTCCCTCGTGTTCCGCGCGCCAGCCTTCAAAGGTGCTTGCTAACAAGCTCCTTGCCCCGACAGCCTGTCTGTGTAGGCTGCACGGGGGATGTTCGACTTTGTGTGCTTGTACGTGTGGATGCGCGGGGTGCTGTCTGGCCATTCTGTGCGTTTGCTCGCAACCCCTACGTCTTCATCGAGTCAACGAGACTCAAGAGGATTTTTTTAGTTCAGGATGTTGCCACGCTCAGATATGCCGTGGCCAATTTTTTTCTTTTTTACGACGACGATTTGCCGCGTGTGACAAAACGAGACCGCCCGGAGACAACCCACGCATACCCAGAAGATAACACCCGTAAAAGTATGCACAGATAAGAAATTCAATACTACAATACGACGTTTTGATTGCAACACAATCAACCCAAGCAACCAACGAATGCGAAAACAAACCTAGTAAACTTAGAAATGTAATGCAGTACAAAACAGAGTCGGCTAACACAACAGTCAACACACTACCTGGTTGATTACGTTCTTCCAAAGATTGCTAAATTTAGCAATCTGTTGTGTTAGCCGACTCTGTTTTGTACTGCATTACATTTCTAAGTTTACTCGGTTTGTTTTTTCATTCATTCTTACATGATGACGGTTGCTTGTGTTGCAATCGAAACGTCGTATTCTATTATTTAATTTATTTTCTTTCCACGTGACTTTGCCGAAAGAACCAAAGAGTAATTCCTGCAGCCAGGAAAGCTTCAAACCAAGTTTTATGCACAGATAGTCCACAAACGTATTTACAATCAACTACTGGGTCCGTCCGACCTGGGACACTTGAAGCCAGTGCACATCCACGATTCTCCCCATGTCCTGTCAATTTTTCCTCCAATTCACCAAACTACGGCCGTCTGAGAGGGCACACACGTGCATGTGCGCATGTGTGTGTGTGCCGCATGACGCGGGCGCGTGCAAGCGTGTCTGTTGCCATGCGTGCGCGTCACTCACGCTCATCTCCCCGCACGCACACCCCATGCATGTGCACCAGGTGCTTGTGAGAGAGCTGGCTCATCATGCTGGCCGCCTCCAGGAACGACTGCGGACACACACGCGGGATGGGGGGGGTTTGCAGGTGAGTGCGGAGGGAGACCGCAATAGCGGCGACCAAAACAAGGGGCGGAGATCGCCGCTCGCGATAAGCTGCCGTACGAGCCGGCGAAGCGGAAGCTCCGGGTACTCCCCCGCCCAAACTTTAAACTGTCCCGTGACACGCGGCTTTAAAAGAAGGCACGCACGCCTAGGCGCAGGCGGCTACGGCACATTTGATCAAAAGCAGTTTTGCCGGCTCCTTTCAGTCCGACTGTCTGTGCGTATCTTGGTGATGCGTAACGTCACACATGACGGTGGGGGAGGGGGGGGCTATATGGTCCTCGTGAAGTGCGAATTAAGTAAAGGTGCGGTCCTGCACCACTACCGGAAGGGCCTTCAGCAGAGGGAAAGCACGGTAGGGTGTCGCAGCACGGAATCGTTACTCTGTGCGATGTGTAAACATCAGTAGTGGGGAGACTACGGTGGCCCAGCCGTGGTGCTTTACAGGCAATCTTTGTCCTTGTACGTACATCTACACGTATATGAAGATTAAATCACGTGGAGGATTTTTGTGGTCAGGTATCTTTGCCTTTCTATATAGACGGTATATATACACACACACACACGGTAAACTGTCAAAAGATACGTTTCATGATATGCTCCCGGCCTCCGCCAACCCACGCCGACCAGCAGCAGCGACGAGCAGGGCAGGGCAGGGCATGTCATGACGACGTCTCGCGTGGCGACGAGGTTGATCAAAGCGAGGCGAGGTTTTTTTTTTGGGGTAGCGCGACGCTGGGACCCCCGCGGGTTGAGAGCGTACGACAAGATCACATCCAGCGGACCTCCGACTTCAAAGTGTTTTTTTTATCAAAAGCATTTCTCCATTCAGTTGCCGAAAGACAACAGCCACCGCCGCCGCCGCCACCACCGCCGCCACAACCTGCCCCAACACTCGCGCTCTCGACCGGCGTAGGTCAGTCGCCTCCTTGTAACTCATTTAGTCGCTCCTACCGCGGCCACCGTTCCCGTGGGCTTCACCCGTCGATTTCTCCACACGGTTTAGAGGACTCGGTCAACCAGACACCGACCGTTCCGTCCCGTCCAAGCTCGCTCAACGCGAGAAACGCGTTCCGCTCCCTTGCCGATTCCAACTGCGTTCGTGCCGTTTGTTACCGAGCCGACGCAGCGACCGTGCGTTTTAAGTCGAAGGGCGGTGGAAGGGTGGAGGGTAGGGAGTGGGGGGGGGGTCAGCGGGTAGGGGGTCAGAGGGTAAGGGGTCAGAGGGTAGGGGTCAGAGGGTAGAGGGTCAGAGGGTGAGAGGGTTTGGAAGGGTAGGGGGTCACAAGGTAGGGGGTCGGAGGATAGGGTGTCGAAGGGTAGGCGGTGAAAGGGTGGACGGTAGGGGGTGGGAGGGTCGGAGGGTAGGGGGTCAGAGGGTAGGGGGTCAGAGAGGGGGGGGGGATTGAAGAGGCACGGAAGGAGTGAGCGTACGCTAGCGGCGTCCTTCCTCCTCACCTCGGAGCAGTTGCGGTGCTGGCTGCTCAGCACCTTGAGGATGACGTCGACACGGCGCAGCTCGCCGTAGTCGCTCATCTCCTTGTGCACGCCCACGTAGAGGTCGGTGAGCGTGCCGCTGCCGATGTGGCGCTCCTGCACGCGCCGCAGCGCCGGGAAAAAAAAACTAAGACGAAGATCCCCCGTGTATAGCCCGAGACGAGTGCTGTTAGCGAGCACCTACGAAGGCCGGCACTGTGGCACACGAGGGGGTGGGTGGCCAGCACCACGCCCGACCGCCTTTGTCTCCCCAGTGAAGATGTTTACACACCACACCAGGTACTCATTTGAGGGTGAGTCGACCTAGGGGCGGGAGGCCCAGGATCGGTTCAGATAATTGTCAATGGTGTTGGTCGTGAGCGGGAATCGAACTCGAGTCACGGGTTCGTAATGCAGCGTGCTAACCGCTACAAAGACAAAGATCCCCTGTGTAGCCTTAACAGACTGCTGGGGCAAGTGCTGTTAGCGAGCACCTAAGAAGGCCGGCACGGCACACGAGGGGGTGGGTGGCCAGCACCACGCCGGGGTGCCAATGTTTACACGCGCACACACACACAGGTACACACACAGACACGCACACAAACAGGTGTACACACGGACAAACCCAGCAATCGCGCGTCGCCATCGCCGTGCATCGTCGTCCGTCTGTCCCAGCCCAGCCTTCGATTCTGATCACCGGCACGTTTCAACGATCCGCCCCCATCATCCATCCACGTTGACCGCCTCCCCCCCCCACCCCCCATCTGGATTACTCGCGTGTTTCAATTGTCCATCTGACCATACGCGACTTCCCATTCGCAAATTTTTATCGCTCGCCAACGTTGATCGCCCGTCAGTCCGCACCACCTCAATTAAAATGAAGCTCATGGAGCGCGAGGTCGGAGGCTGGCGAAGCAACAGAGCCCTGGCTACTCTCTCGTGCTACTGGCAAATAGAGACGAATTTACCCCTGGTACAAATCCTTCTACATCCCCATGTATTTATAGCCGAGTGAAAGCCCTCCGAGACATTGCATTGCCGAGCAAGAACTGGGTCACGATGATAACCCTGGGTCGCACCGACCACCTTGCTGTGGTTGCCATCGCGACGGCTGGACACTCGCCTGCCTCTGTCGGAGCTACGATCACCCAGCGACTTAAATCGGTGACCGACGTGGAAACCGCATCGCAACGGAAACATAGTGCAGGATGGAAAGTAAATGGAGCTTTCAACAACACGCGACAGAGGCGTGTAAAGCAAGCACTCAGTGCATTTTGGAGAACACCGTCAGCATTATCCGAAGAAGTGCATTATGGTCCTCTTGTCTGACGTCACCCAAACAGCCTATCAATTAGCACCGTTGGCTACGTTCAACGTACACACGTACGTACTTACCGTTGTCTATCCCTGCACCATTTCTGACCGCCAGTCGCGTCACGTTTGTTCAAATTTATTTCGATGGTCGCCAAACAGAATGCACTCGTTCACGAAACGCACATAGGCCGAGCGCTCCCCGCCCAGGGACCCGCACGGAACCGAACGAACGGAACGACAGCGACGCGCACGAGGCCCGCGGCTCTCCTCGGCCCGAGAGGCGCCGGCGTCGTACCTGCTCCAGGTTCTCGCTCCTCACTCTGTTGAACTGCATGCGCCCGACGCTGCGCTGCATCGTGGGAGAGCTCGGCATCTCCGACGCGTCGTTGCTCCGGACGATGAGCAGGTTAGACTTTTCTGAAAGACGCAAAAAAATGTCGGAATCCGTCCCAGAATGCCAAGCCGGCGGGGCTAGTGTCAGGTGATAACAAAACAAGCTCACAAAAATCACTCGAGGATGGCCTCACTTTTCAGATGCTTATCTCCCCCCTTCAAAGGCCGACGGTGACGCGCCTGCTTTTAGCCTCGGCGGCACGCTCGGTACGTCCCAGTCCCAGGGCTCGTGCGCGTCCCCGAAACGCGCACCCCCCCCACCCCCCCCACCCGCCCCCCACCCGCAGTGGAAACAACGGCGCAAGATTCTTAGATCCCCCGGCCCCCGCCGCCCGCCACCTCCGTCCCACCCAGCAGTGTGAACGTGTACATCACAGTTAGTCCACGATTCAGCAGTTGGTGGAGTGATGGGGTAAAGTGTGCGTACTCCCGCCTCCTCCAAGATGTTAGACCAGTGTGGACGACTTGGTCGAAAGACAGTGGTGTGAGCAATGCATCTCAGGGCTGCACCTTTACCATCTTCACCTTCGATCATTATTATTATTATAATTCGGCAGGAATCCCACAGTGTGACCCTTGACCATCTGGCGTTGAACAGCCGGGGCTCAGATCACGACACGAGCCGGATTGCTGGATTGCCGGATTGCCGAAATGCCAGAATGCCAGACCGCCGAACGACGGATTTCCAGATGGCCAGAATTCCAGATTCCTGAATTGTTGGGTTGCCAGAGCACCAGAGATCTGTTGCCACAGGATGCCAGATTTCCAGATCGTGGGAATTCCGGAACAGCGGAAGAAGGTGCGTCGCTGCCGCCGCCGCCTCGCCGTCGGGCCGTACCCTTGGGTCTGGGCGGGCAGCAGTGCGTGAAGCGGAAGGTGACCCCGTCGGAGCGGAGCGTCTCCGAGCGGTAGTACGCCACGAGCTCGGCCAGCGTGGGGAAGGAGCGCCGCCCGCCCACCAGCACGAACTTGGAGCCCTCCTGCCTCACCAGGCAGTGCTTGAAGTCGTTGTCCTGGCGCCGGACAAGGGGCACAACACGGCAGCGGAGGGATGGGGGGGGGGGTAAGAGGTCAAGCGATGAGAGCAGAGGGAGGAGAGAGAGAGATTTCGAAGGCAAATTCAACAGTTTTATTTTCAGCCACAATTAATTTTAAGGAGCGCGTCAGTAAGATGTGTGTCGTGCACCCTCCTCCACCCGACACGGCCAATTCATAAAGTTGTCAAGCGATGAACAAACGTGGCCACAGTTTATCGCTGCTTCAGGCGCGATCCGCACAACGCGAAAGAGTGGGCTACGGACGTTTCGCTAGTAGTTGCAACCAGCGTCATCAGGCAGGCACGTGTAACCCAACCGGGCGTGCGCCCCAACGTTCCACGAACCCGCAGGCACGGAAGTTCCACGCCGCGCGACAAGGCGAAGCGCGCGGGGTGGCGCCGTCTCTTCCGCGGTGTTACGCTGCGGCTCAGAACTATCGTGGGATCTCGACTGTTCACCCAGACAAGCCTCGCCGCGTCTCGAGACTCCTTCTCAGGAGGATGCTGCCAAGTCTCCGCAGTGTGGATGAGGCGCCAGTGTGTGTGTGTGTGGTGTCTCACCCGCGTCTTGTGGTGCAGTGGTTAGCGTGTTGATCTACGGACGCGGCTAAACCGAGGTTGATTCTCGCTCGCGACCAATTACAATGGCGAATATTTGAACCAGTCCTGGGCCTCCCCTAGGTCGACTCGGCCTTAATCGAGCACCCGTTGCGCTCTGCAGTAAACATCACCGCCGGGGCGACAAAGGCGTGCGTGGCGATGGCCACCCACCCCTCTCTCGCTCGTCGTGACGACCTTCATGAGGTGCTACATCGCCAGCGACACTTGCCCCCCTAACAGTCTGCCGAAGGCTACGCGGGGGATCTTTGTCTGAGTCTCACCCGCACGCGCACGCTGATGAAGAACTGGTGCGGCTCCTTGGGGCTGCAGCGCAGCACAAAGTGCCCATCCCCGTGCTCCAAGCGCCGGAGCTTCTGCACCGCAAAGTCGGAGCTGGCGGAGGGAATGGAGACACGTCAAGCGTCACACCACCGCCATCCCCACTATCACCCACCACCACCACCTCCGCCAAGACCATCATCATCACCACCAATCCCACTATCACCACCACGGCCACCACCATAATCACCACTACCACTCCTATCATTCCCATTATAACCACCAACCACCACCAGCCATCATCACCACCTCCATCATCACCACCCCCACCGCCATGGCCACCACATCCATCCTCCCCACCATCACCACCAACCACCACCACCACCACGGCAACCATCACCACCACCACTACTCCCAATCCTAATCACCACCGCCACCACCATCCCCACTATTCCCACTGCCACAGCCACCACCAATACCAATACCCGCCCATTCGCCTGTGCCAGGCCAGGTGCACTTTGAGGCCACGTGAAGTGTGGAAGGCTCCCTGACAGAATGAGCTCGGAACAGACCCAGGTTGCCATGGGTTGGCTGACTAACATGACTGGCAGATGCACCATCAGCTCTACGGCGCTCCGCTCGTTGTCGCGAGCGTCGCTCCTCTGCCCTCCGTCGTTGCTGGAGGGCGACGTTCATCGTCGTTGTTAACGTCCCTGTTCGTGTTGCTGCGGGGGTGGTGCAGTGCTGCGGACTTGGCGACCCGAGTTCAATTCGCGATCACGGATAACACCCGGAACCAATCAAGGGGGTCTTCCCCGAGGTCGACTAAGCCTCAAATGAGCAGCCCTGGTGCGGCGTGTTCAACTTCAGCGCTGGGGAGACAAGACTCGAGTTGCCCCGAGTAAACCCGCGAATGCGTGTCGCGGGAACGCGCGCGTGTCGTACAGGATTGGTCCGTGGCAGTAGTTGCGGCACAGCTCCACCAGCCGCGGCGGCGCCAGGTCCTTCCACATGTAGTGGTGAGCGTCGGCGGTGAGGCGGTAGTAGCCGTCCAGCAGGCAGATGGCCGACTGCGCCTCCTGCAGGGTCGCAAACTCCAGCTCCTGCGGGTCAAGGGGCGGACGAGCGGATCAGCGACACGTCACCGGGCCGGCAGCGCTGCACACGGCTGCTTCATCATCAGCAGCAGCAGCAGCGGTGCACACGGCTGCTTCATCAGCAGCAGCAGCAGCAGCGGTGCACACGGCTGCTTCATCAGCAGCAGCAGCAGCGCTGCACACGACTGCTTCATCATCATCATCAGCAGCAGCAGCAGCAGCGCTGCACACGGCTGCTTCATCAGCAGCAGCAGCAGCAGCGGTGCACACGGCTGCTTCATCATCATCAGCAGCAGCAGCAGCGCTGCACACGGCTGCTTCATCAGCAGCAGCAGCAGCGGTGCACACGGCTGCTTCATCATCATCATCAGCAGCAGCAGCGCTGCACACGGCTGCTTCATCAGCAGCAGCAGCAGCGGTGCACACGGCTGCTTCCGCAGCGATCCGGTTAGGTTCACCACTCGCACAGCCGGCACCAGCCCGCCAAACTGCACCACGCAAACGGCCGCCCACGCCCCGCAAAACCCCGAAACGCCGCCAAAGCCTTCCTCCTCCTGCCACCGCCGCCGCCACTTCTCCTCCTCGTGTCGTACCCCCCACCCCCCCCCCAGCCCCCCCCCCCCCCCCCCCAGCGAGCTCCTCGGGGAGTCTCGTAAACCCCGAACACGCGGAGACGAGCGTCACTCGTCTCCGCGTGTTCGGCGCGGCAGGGGAGCTGCCGCGCCGGCGTTAGGGTCGGCGGCGCGCCGGACAGAGGGCGCCGGTTCCGATAGATCTGCCGGCGAGACTGTCGATACGACGGGGGCGAATTTCTTAAAATCTCCCACCCCCTACTCCCCCGCCACTGCGCCTCTGTCCACCCAGCGGTGAGCGATGCAATGTGAGCAGTTCGAGTGAGGTGGGGTAAAGTGTGGGTACTCCCACCACCATCTATGATGTCTGGCCACCGTGCGGGCCGAGCCGAGTGCTGACACAGGAAGAGAGGCATCTTGCGTGTGCCAACCCGCCGATAATAGACCGGCCGGCGAACGTCCACGTAAACCAACCGTCACGTGTGTCACGTGCCACACACGTCATGAAATAGCGAGTCCGAGCGCATAGTTCAGGCATGACTTGCAAAGTGTTGCTGTCGTAACGCAGGGCTGGGTGAACCGAGGTTGAACTCCACACGGCTTCACAGTATATATTACTCTATATTAATTACTGTGAACCCAGTGACCGGAGTTTTATTACCGATAATGGCTAAAATTAGTGGCGAGTGATATCTTAACTGGTGCTGCGTCTTCCTCCTTCACCAAACCCCACTGACCTCCGTGATGATGTCCGGCCAAACAACCCCCGTGACCTACACGCTGCGTGGGAGTCCTTCGTCCAGCAGCGGATTGACCAGGACCGTGGCCCGCTATCAATTCGGTTAAATCGCGAATAAATTCCCTTTTGCGTTCATCCGTTTTTGCTCCGCTTTTCTCGAGCGTTGTCGGTTGAACTTCGCGCTGTCGACACGTCTGAGCAAGGGCGCGACTCCGAACCTGGATGCAACGAAGACAAACGCGGCTTCACGCGCCGACGCCGCCGTGCCGTGAACGAGCTGTCGGCACGCCGGGGGGGAGGGTGGGAGGGGCTTTGCGATCCAAAGGGTCGCCGGTGAGATACCACCTCCTTGCGGGCGGACTGGAGTTCTAAACGACGGTGGCAAGTTTCTAGAATCTTCGAATCCCAGCCGCGTCTGTCCAGGGGGGGGGGGGGGGGTATGTAAATAGGCAACGTTTCGGGCAATGGCCCTTCAACAGGAGCAGCGGGCCAGAGAGAAGCGGCGTTGTCGACTGCAACGCGTCGAGTCTTTTTGTTACTTTGCACTTTTGCACCACTGCCAACACTGTATGACAAATGTGTCAAGTGTGCAAATGTCGAGGGGTGGGGGGAGTGGGGGGGGAAGGGAGGGGAGGGGAGGGGGCTCCATCCACTGCAGCTCCCGCTACTCGGCCGGCAGCGCCGCCTCGGCCGTATACTTCCTCGTTCACGAGCGGCACCTGCCTGCCTCGCGCTGATTAGCGTCCCGGAAACGCGCGCCGGGGGTACGGAGAGGGGAAAACGGAAAAAACCCCAAAGGTCGCCGTCTCCCTATCGGCGAGCGGCAGCGGCGGCGGCGGCAAGCGGTACCTGCCCCAAGACAAAAATGGCGAGCACCCGCACCAAAGATCCCCCCCCACCCCCCCCCCCCATATAAGGTTGTAAAGCATAACCTCAAATTATCTTTTTTTACCACGTAAGGCCCACTGAGCTACGTAGCTCTTTGTCAGACGCGACCTGGCCGCAAGTGATTGCTCAAACAAAAGCGGCTTCTCGCGTGGAAATTTACAGCTGCCAAATAGTCTCAACGCGTGACACTGAGTCTCAACGCGGAGGGAAAAACCGGAGGACCCGGAGAAAAATCCACGCGACCACAGAGAGAGAGAGAGACACGCAAACTCCAAATACACATGCGTCAGGGGTCAGGATCGAATCCACAACCTCCTGTAAACCAACCAGGCGAGGTGGTTATAACACCAGGCTGCTGGGGCAAGTGCTGTGCCTACGAAGGCTGGCACGGCACACGGATTAGACTAGCCGCGCTGGCGCCGGGCCCGGCGAGGGAGGAACGCCGGCGCTTCTCTCGCCCTCCCCCGCCCCGCGTCACCGTTCGCCGCCGGCTCGCACAATGCTGCAGCGTCGGCAATAACGGGCGCACACGCTGGCGGGCGAGGGGCGAGCGGGCACGAACCCGTGGGGGTGGTTTTGGCTTCTGGGTTGCCGACATGCGATACACGTGCGTGACGCGCACGTGTGTGGAGAGCGAAACTGGCTCTGTGACGGGCACGGATGAGGTTGCCCGAAGTTGGCACGGTGTGCCCACAACCGCTCTCTGGTGGCGTGAGGCCGGGCGGGGGGAGGGGGGGCGGAGGTGGTGTCGCTCGCCGCACAGCGCACACGACTCCGTAGCCGGCTGCTGCTGCTGCAGCTGCTGCAGCAGCTGCTGCTTCAGCTGCTGCTGCTACTGCGGCTGCTGCTGCTACTGCTGCTGCAGCTGCTACTACTGCTGCAGCTGCTACTGCTGCTGCAGCTACTGCTGCAGCTACTGCTGCAGCTGCTGCTGCTTCAGCTGCTGCTGCTACTGCGGCTGCTGCTGCTACTGCTGCTGCAGCTGCTACTACTGCTGCAGCTGCTACTACTGCTGCAGCTGCTACTGCTGCAGCTACTGCTGCTGCAGCTACTGCTGCAGCTAGTGCTGCAGCTGCTGCTGCAGCTGTTGCTACAGCTGCTGCTGCAGCTGCTGCTACAGCTGCTGCTGCAGCTGCTGCTACTGCTGCTGCAGCTGCTGCTACAGCTGCTGCTGCTGCTGCTTCAGCTGCTGCTACTGCTGCTGCTGCTTCAGCTGCTGCTACTGCTGCAGCAGCTGCTGCTACTGTTGCAGCAGCTGCTGCAGCTGCTACTACTGCTGCAGCAGCTGCTGCTGCAGCAGCTGCTGCTGCTGCTTCTGCAGCTGCAGCAGCTGCTGCTTCTGCAGCTGCAGCAGCTGCTGCTTCTGCACCTGCAGCATCTGCTGCTGCTGCTTCTGCACCTGCAGCATCTGCTGCTGCTGCTGCTTCTGCACCTGCAGCATCTGCTGCTGCTGCTTCTGCACCTGCAGCATCTGCTGCTGCTGCTTCTGCACCTGCAGCATCTGCTGCTGCTGCTGCTGCTTCTGCACCTGCAGCATCTGCTGCTGCAGCTTCTGCACCTGCAGCATCTGCTGCTGCTGCTGCTGCTTCTGCACCTGCAGCATCTGCTGCTGCTGCTTCTGCACCTGCAGCATCTGCTGCTGCTGCTTCTGCACCTGCAGCATCTGCTGCTGCTGCTGCTTCTGCACCTGCAGCATCTGCTGCTGCTGCTTCTGCACCTGCAGCATCTGCTGCTGCTGCAGCAGATGCTGCAGCAGCAGCAGATGCTGCAGCATCTGCTGCTGCAGCATCTGCTGCAGGTGAGTAACGTGGTCACTGCTGACCGAGCGGCTGCGGGTCACGCTTTCCCGCGACCCCGCACCGGCCACCCATGCGAAACCCCAGCGCGCTACTCGCACACCCCCGATGAGCGCGGTTGGCTACGTACGGTGCGAAGGAAGTTCAACGTACACACACACACACACAGGAAAGGGGGCGACGGCTCTCGTGCATTGCCACGTGACCAGCCCCGTTGCTTGTAGAATGCTCTCAAGCCCGGGAGCTGAACTTGCGGCCGCAGTGCCGTTTAGACCACAGACTCAAAAAGAGTTGAACATGCGGCCGTGCCATCCGGCTGGACAAGGCCGGGAGCAATGAACGTGCGGACGCGTTGGTCAAATGACATGCACACGAGGCACATGGATGGGCTTCGCGCCTTGCTGCTGCTGTCAGTAGCAGAGCAGCAGCAGCAGCAGCACACCCTTGCACGCCGCTGGCTTACGAGTTAACACACCCTGCACACGGCGGAGCTTTCTCCTCGTGCGCGCAGAGCTCGCTCGACGCGAATTACTGCTGCCCGAGAGACTTCGCTTCCGCAAAGGGGTGGGAGGGGCAAGGAAATGGGCGCTTGGCCATGAATAGCCCCAACCGTGCCGGGTCGTATGGCGCCCGTCGCGTTAATAATAGACCGTCCCCAGCACTCCGAAGCAATAAACACGCGTTTGGGGCGAGCTACCCCCCCCCCCCCCCCCCGCTTGCCCTCGAGCATCCGCTCCGTCGATCGCCGCCTGGGGCTCGCCCGGACTGCTCGGGCTCGTCGAGATAGAAGTTCGTCCACCCCGCTGGCGCTGCCGCGCAAACAAAGTGTAATTCAAGTCGACGTCCCCGTGAACGAAATGTTTTAAGTCTGCATTTTAATTTTTGTGGGTGGGGAGGGGCAGGAGGAAGGAGGAGGGCGGGGGGGGGGGGGGAGGACATCGCCGATTAGAGAGCAAGGCCCCGGGGCACGATGCTTCTGCCCGGTGACCCCTGCGGGCGCTCACCTGACCTCTGTCCGTGAGCCGCCAGCCCCCCCCCCCCCCAGGCTTTTTTACTTGACGGCGACCCAAAGAGACCCGCGTGACGGGGGCCTCGCTCGCAATCCAAAGCGAGTTTCTCGCTCGCTTGGACACAGAGGGCAAAGGCAGCGGGCTCATCTCCCCGCTTAGAGCCGTGCACATTCCACATTCCTATGGTGGGTGGCAAGTCTGTCCCCCACAGGACGTCCACTTTTTGGACTTGACTCCGTGGTGGATGATGGGGCCGATTCAACACCCTCCAAAACAGAACTCGCAACCCCTGTCACTGCGTGCCTGCTGCCTGGGGGCACGACGCGGTCAACGTTGAACGAACGTTAAACGCTAAACCAAACGAGCAACTCCACGGCCCGAGTGTGTCTCCCGTGCGTTCCACTCTCAACCCATGTACGACCAGAAGCAGCGGTGCCCATCGCCGAGTCCGTACCCGTTGAATCTTGCCCCCCTCTCCAGCTGGTATCAAACATTCCACCAAATATTTTTTTCAGCATTTTTCCCCCAATTTAATGCCGACTGCGCGATAATGAGACGGAAAAGCGCAAACCCATCTTTCGCATGGGACAACGGGCCCGCGGAAGCGGATACCGCAGAACAGCGTACGTAGCCAACCACGCTAATCGGAGGTGCAGCAATTAGCACGGTTGCCTTTAAAGCGACCTTCTACTTGACGTCACGGGGCCGGCCCTGTGTGCCGGCCAGCAGCCTGGCAGCCCTCCCGCCCGCCACACCACGCGTCGCTCGAAACGAAGCAGCGGCCCTCGACACCAGCGCGGAGACGGCACGGGTGACTAGCGGGAGCGCGGACAGCTGGGAGCGCGGACAGCCGGGAGTGCTGCCATGCTGCTGGCTTCTGGTGCGCGCCCCCGGGTGGTGTCCGCCGTGGGAGCGTGTGAAGCGCAGCTCTTGAGGTCCCTCCGCCGCGTGTGAAACTCTTTATCTCAAACCCGCACGCAACGTCCCGGCCGTGGGTAACCGTCGTGGGGGTAGGGTGGGTGGGGGAAGGGGTGGGGGCAGAGGCGCAGTGCCACCCAACCCAAAGCGAGGTCACGGCGGCAGCCCCCCTGGTGGGGGCCCTGCAGGCTCGTTGTGACCCCCCCACCCTGCTTCCGTCCAGTTGAAAAAGGTTCCCTCGCGAGACGACGGAAGGTGTCGACGACAAATCGAGATGTGCCGAGACGAGAGAACAGAGATGTGGACGAGGCAGCGATGCAGACTAGAGACGGACGTGGATCCACAATGCAGATTTTGTTACGAATCAAAATTCTATTTCATCTACGATGCAGTGCCCCCCCCCCCCCGCCCCCTTGAGCTGCTTGGGTGCCCGAATTATTTTATTGGTTGGCTTGGGCCTAACAGGCACCATCCGGGCACGGGGCGCTCCGCGCTCGCTTCACGGAAGGCCCCGTGGCGCAACGTCCCAAACGCTCCCGCCGGGGGAGCGACGAGGCCACGGAGACCGAGAAACGGTGGCGGCGAAGGCTCTCAACTGCCCCCCCCCCCCCCCTCCCGTGCGTCATCGTTGGGCCTTTCCAGAAAACGCGCTGATGCGACCGAAATTTGCGTGCGTGTCGCGCGATCCCACCGCCGTGTGTCACTTCCTCCATGCCCCACCACCCCCCCGCGGCCAACGGGCACCGAGCGGTGGGCGAGGTGCCGGGCTACGCCACCGCCGTCGCCGCACCGCGGTGGTTAGGGAGCGGGGTTTTACGTGCGGATGCGTAGGTCGCTTTGCCCTTTTCTATTTCCTCGACCGCCGAGCGGCAGGTGGGAATTTTGGGGAAGTGGGGCCTGGATTTGAAAGTAAAACACTGAACTTCTCGTCATTGCAAGAAAAAGAAGAAAAAAAAACTTCCCTTCACCTCCCACCGCCCCGAAGGCCCACGCTAAACTGTACCCCGTCATCAACGCTGTGAACTACCCGTGCGTCGATTACCGGAGCGACGCTCGTTCAGCCGGACCCGTCAAGACTCGTATTTGATGCGGGCGTCCTGCACGCCAATCGCCGTCGTCGCCGTCGGTCGCGTGCCCCTCCCCGGCCCGAGCGCAGAGCGGTCCCCACGGGACGACGCCGCCAGGCGGCCCGGTAACCCCGAGCGCGCCGGCACGCCGGGGAGGGGATGGGGAGGGGGGGACGGTGCTCGACTTCGGCCTCCGCGTCGACCGCGGCGATGCCCCCGAGGTCGGCCGCAGCGGCGGAGGGGTTTTCTTGACGATGGCTCCATCACGCTGCTCGGTGTTGGTTTGGCAAAAGGCTCGGAGCGGCGTAGACGCAATGCGGTTTACCGTACGGCCCAGCACTAAACCACAACGCGGGCCCCCGCTAACACCTGTTACGCACGGCGGTCGCCCATCCGTGCCGCTGTCCAGGCTCAAACCTGCTTAGCTTCCCGGCTCCGACGAGACCGGGCGCAACTGCGTCCAATTTGGTCAACATTGACAAGCCTTTTGCGTTCTATTCCTCTCAGCCGCCACCACCGCCGCCACCACCGCCGCCGCGTCGTCGTCGTCACATCGTCGTCGTCCCCGCGACGCTCTGTGCATGCTTTGTGCTGATCCTCTTCCCCTCTGCATCTTCCCCTATTTTTCTCCCCATGTGTTTTGCACTTCCCGTCTCGTTTTGCAACTCTGGCGTCCAAGAAGCGACAAGTAATTCGCAGCCTCTTGCCGCTCCACTGCTGGATGAGAAGGCATCAACCCTTCCCCCATCCCCGCCCGCCGTACGGCATCGGCGGTGCCCAGGAACCGGTCCGGGTCGTCGGGTTCGTTGGATAATTATAAACGGCAGTGGAGCACCGCCTTAATGCTCGTTTGAGCAGGATAGCACGTGGACTTGTGCACCGAGTGGCCTTTAAAAGGTTTGCCTGCGCGTGCATATGCTACGTCTCGCTGGACACCCGGTACTCCCTTGCATACGAGATGTGAATCCATCACGGGGATTTGCGAGTTGAAGTGGGTGTGGGGGGAGGAGCGTCGGTGCGGGGGGGGGGCTCTCTCCACCCGGCGGAGTAAACTCGCGCGCGGCGAGCGTGACAGGCCACCGAAGCCAAAACAACGCAAACCCCGTGAACTCGGAACATAGAGAGACCAAACAGGTTCTGGGGCGCAGTGGCGGGGGTGGAGGAGGAGGAACATCTGCCGTCGTGCCGAAATACGGAATTCCTCGCTCGGAGTCGCACCCTTTGTTCAACCGCACGACGCAGCAACAGAGTCGGCGTCGTTGCTTGATCGGGGAGAGAGCGCGGGTGCCGATTGAAAGCGACCCACGCGCTTGCGTCGCGTGCGGTGATCGGAGCGGCTGTCGCGAGCGCCCGCGGTAGTTTCTCGTGCGTGTCCGTCATGCGCGTGGCTCGTTGCTACGAGATCCCGGCAGCCGCTAGAGGCGCTCTACGAGTGGCAGCGGAGTCCGGGATTCAAGCGCGGCAGCGAACGGCGCAAGAATTCATCGAATCCATGGGCAGATAGCCCCGTAGCGGTTGTCCACCGCAATTTTCGTCATTCGCTTTCCTCCGTCTTGTGCCAATATGCCCCCCCAAGCAGTGCCACATCATTCTGGCACCGATCTTTTCCGCAATGTTTTTTTTTGTCAGCATCTTAATTCCGAGCGAAGCATTTGCAAACCATCCCGAGATTCCGTGGCGTTCCTCCTCGCGTAGCCACGCGACACCGCGCCCCGCCGACAGGCCGCGCTGCGAGTGAGCCGCGGCAGGAGGTGCGTCGCGCGCGAGCGGCCCGGCCACTGACCATGGGCTTGCAGTCCTGGCGGTTGATGGTGACGATGCAGCCGTCCTTGGGGGTGCAGGCCGCGTGCATGCTGATGTCCGTGATGGCCGAGAAGTCGCAGAACGTCTGGAAGGGCATGGGGGTCTGCGGAGCGCGACAAGGCGGTCGGGGAGGGAGGTAGGGGGAGTGGTGGGGGGGGGGGATGTTAGTTTACGACTCGGCCTTGAACGTTTCACACTTTGGAAGACTTTTACGAATATTTTCTGGACGTTTGGGATCCACGCGGCGTCGCGTATTTGCGCGCCGCCGGGGCTTGCAAGCGGCAGCGCCACGGTGCCACCGATTCCCGCGGGAAAGCAGCCAGGGGTGACGTTCACATCGGTCCAAATTTCACGTCCACACGTCTGGAACTCGCGGATTTTTCGCGAGCGTTTCCCTCGCTCGTCGTGCGCGCAGCCCCACTGCCGGACAAGGACCTGCCCCCCCCCCACATGCCGTGCTAGTTGTGGCGAGCCATTTGACCATACTTCACCACACTGGTCCGTGCTGTTGGTTTCGTGAAGCACTTCAAAACCACTCTGAGCTGCTAAACCAAGCGTTTTTATACAAGGTCCACTGAGCGATGACAATATGTAACACGATTTTTGTTCCTGGGTAGTAGGTGTTATTTTCTAATTGCTTATGCTTCAAAAGTTTAGTAAATGGCTATTATTCCCCACAAACTTTGCTTTTGTGACCAAGACTTTATGTGAACGAAAGACACAAATGCACACCGCGTTTTCTCATTGAAAATAGATACATTTCAAAATATCACTGTCTTGGTCACAAAAGCAAAGTTTGTGTGGAACAATAGCCATTTTTCTGTACTTTTGAGGCATAAGCAATAAGGAAATAACACTTACTAGCCAGGAACAAAAAAAAATTTGTTACACAGTGTTATCGCTCGCCGCTGATGTTCGTCCGGAATCAAACTCAGGCTGCCGCACGCTCACACCACCGCGCCCCCGCTCCTCTGCGAGATTTTCACGCATCCTCCGTTTGTGACACCAGCACGCACGCTGGCAGGGGCCGCCCAGCGCACGGCCCACGCCCCCCACTGCCTCGGCAGACTTGGAGTAAAATAACTGCCCGAAATAATAATGACACCGACGACTTGCTGTGCAGGTTTTCCCAAGCTCGTTGGCTGAGTGCTTTTTGTCTCTTTATATAGACCATAACATATTTCACTTAAACCGCCGCCCGACTAAACAAGTTATTTTTACAATTTTAATGCCGCCGTTGCAAAGGTCGTGTGCGTGTCTGTGCATGGTGTAGAGGTTGCAAACGGGGTTTGATTCCTTACCCGTACCCGGCCGCACCAAGGTCACAAACGGGTACCCGTACCGGGTACGGGTACCCGTTCCCTACCCGAAATGAGTGACAAACGGTTACTCACCAGTGACTCACAGCCTACCCGTACCCGTACTCGGCCGCACCAGGGTTGCAAACGGCTACCCGTACCCGGGTAGCCGGGTATCGGGTAGGGTACGGGTATCGGGTACCCGGTTGCGACCTCTGGCGTGGTGCTGGCTACCCACCCCTCGTGTGCCACGCCGGCCTTCATAGGTACTACTCGCTCCTACAATCTGTCAAGGTTATACGGGGGACCCTTATGATGGCGAGCTGTAGTGTTGTGGTTAGCACGAACGTGGAGGTACCGGTTCAATTCCCGCTCGCGGCCAACAGCAGCGATGAATATCTGAACCTATCCTACACCTTCCCTTCTTCAACTCAGCCTTAAATGAGTTCATGCACATATACGTGCATTGCTGTGTACGTGCTAGTGAGATTGTGCATTTGTCTGTACGTGCTTGTGCGTGCGTGTTGCGGCATGTTTCTTGATAGGTGCTCGCTAACGGCGCCTGTATGGCTATGATGATAATGATGATAATGACGACGATGATAGCGGTAAGGATGATCATTCGTACAATAACGACGATCGCGATGACAAGCAAGGCGACGACGGCGACGATAAATGTGACGACGGCGATAACGATCATTACGACGATGTCAAAAGCGCCAGCCCGCCCAGCCCGCCCAGCCCGCCCAGCCCGCACCTCTCCGTCGAAGCGCCACTGCACGCCGTGCTGCGCCGACACGGCGACGAGCAGCGGCTTGTGGTCGGTGGGTTGCTTGGCGGCGAACACCTCCTGGCCGAACGTGGGGTCCAGGCTCTCCACGTTGGTCAGGTACTTGAGCGTGAGGTCGCGCAGGCCCGTGCGGCACTGCCCGAAGCGGCGCACAAACCGCCGGAAGCGGTTGCGGATGCGACGCCGCGTCAGCAGGTTGTAGCTCTGGATGCGGCTACGCACGCCCACTGGGAGGCACTTCTTGTAGCTGAGCAGGCGGTCGCGGCGGTGGCGGAGGAAGAGAGGCCACACACACACACACGCGCACACACGCACGCACACACGCACACACACGCAGGCACGCGCGAGTGTTAGTTTATCCGCCTTGCGCGCTCCGTTGCCGCCGTCCGAGCGACACGTTGAGCGGTGTAATGCACACTAATCCCGGCCGTCTCACCTCCCTCCGCCCCACAACGCGACGCCCATCTTGCGCAATCGGGACAATGTCTCGTGACGCGACGCCGATAGCAGTAACAAACATAGAACGGGGACAGCACGGACAGCAACAAGGAGAGCACAGACAGCACGGACAGCAGGAACAGCAGCGGTGACAGCACGGGCAGCACGGAGAGCAGGGAGAACGCAGGAGACGCCGACGACGCACCTCATGCTGTTGAACACCTGCAGCAGGGTGATGTTCTGCAGCTGCGCACGCCGCATCATGTCCAGCACGGCCATGCCCAGGCACTCCTCCTCCACGCCCGCCACGTCGCTCAGCGACACGCGCCCGTTCACAAAGTCGTGTTGGACCTTGACCCCCAGGCACACGCAGGGAACAAAAACGACGATGAGGATGACGGCCACGACGGAGATCCCTCGTGAAGCCTTCGGCAGGCCGCTTGCGGCGTCGTGGTTGCACTCGCGCCTCGCGGCAATTAGCGCCTGGGTTTGACTCCCACGTCTCGGGCGCTTTTCTGCGTCGGGTTTTTTTGCCTCCTCTGCCCCCCCCCCCCCCTACTGCATGCGTTCCCTCTGGGCCCTCCGCTTTTCTTCCACAGTTAAACAGAAACCCACGCAGTGGCCAAAACATCCCAAACGTGAAAAAAATTACCTGCGCATTAAGCTGCTCAATTGGGATCATCACAACGCCAGAAGCAGTATCGGCCCATGCTGCGAAATCATGGCAGGACCCTCCATGATCTACAGTCGGCTACGTCCGGTGCGGAAAAAGCTCCACATACACACATTGAGTCTTGAAACTCAATGAGGCTTTCTTGAGTAAACAGGCATAATTAGATTGTTGTGAGGTCCTGCTGCTGGCCACGATGAGAACAGAGAGAGAGTTCCTGTCGTGTCGCTGTTGCTCCTCCTCCGCTGAAGGAGCGCAGACCGGAGTGGCTTCATTTTCCCCATTCACGAATGAGACGCGTGCACGGGCCTGTCGATGTGCTCTCATGCGTAAATAGACTACCAATATAATTGTTCAACAGGAGGCATCGGCCCGAGATCGACCTTTGCCGCGAGGTCACGGGGCGGGAGGAAGGGGCGGGCGTGCGGAGGGTTACCTGGCAGTACAGGTAATTCATGACGTGGTCGTCGAAGATTCCGTTCTCCCCGTCCTTGGACAGGCTGAATCTGTGAGCGCACGGACCCTCAGCTCCGTGCCAGTGGGGGAAGAAAAACCTGCGGCACGCACACACGGACACCGCACGCACGCACACACAGACACCGCACGCACGCACACACGGACACCACACGCACACACGCACGCACGACGATTGCCATGTTTAGTCTCGGAGGAGAGCCGGGGCAATGGGGCTCAGGGGTGGGATTTGGGAGGGATTTTGAGACGCAAAAGATCATCATGCGGCGTGGCACGTTTCATCTTCACCCGCACGTGGTCCTGCGATACCCACAATCCCCCTTTCTCGTTCCTGCCGTCACCACCGACCGGCGAAGTATGGTCAAATAACTCGCACGACCGACAAAGCATGGGGGCACGTTGACATGCAGCAGTGGATCGACAACGGGGTGTGAATAGGGCCGCCACTAGTCCGCGTTTCTCCAGGACAGTCCGGGAATCGACATCCGTGTTCAGGCGGCAGGAGTCGATTGGTACCGATATCCGGTACGGGTTACTGCGTGGAACTTCATTGCAGTGTCCTGCACAGTTTTGGTCGGCCTAGGCCAGGGGTCGGCAACCAAAACAACAAGAAGAGCCTTTTAAAAACTCTATTTCAAGAGCCGTAATGGAACGGGAATAATATCACGGAGCAGTCCCTTAAAGAGCCCCTGCATGTGAATCGGTTTTCCCCTTTTTTCTGGCAACAAAACAGTTTGTGTTAAGATGTTAAAACACCAAACTGAAACCTTTTTCAAGGAATCATGTCTGAATTAACCACAATACTTGTGGTCAGAATGCAAACAAAAAAATACCCTGATAATATATGCATTGTCTTTGAAACCGATTGGTCCACACCAGAGACGGCTTTCTTTGGAGCCTGGTCTCAAAAAGGTGTTCGACCAGAGGACGCCAAAAGGCGTACGTACGGCTGACCTGCAGGTCCGGAACAGCAGGTCCGCCGATCCCTGACATAGGCAAACTGATTTAAAAAAAAAAACATATCCAGGTTTGGTGGCACCGCTGGCTGCCGAACGTCACCGACGCATTCGACGCGCGCACTGAACATCGTTCTCACGGCCGCCGTTGGGAAACCGCCGCGGCAGCGCGCGGCGCGGAGCGCGGGGGGAGAGGCGATCGGCGGCCGTGGAGGAGTCGTCTTTTTCTTTTTTTTTAAGAGACTTCCTCTAACAAAAGAGGGGGGGGCAAGGGTGGTGGCGGCGGCGGAACCTTCACTTTCCCCGAAACGCATCCTCCTCGCTCGGTGGCCAGCCCCCCGCCCGCCCCGTGCGCCCCGAGAACGATTGTTTTCGGGGCGCTTTACGAATTAAAATTATTGTGTGCGGGGCAAAGGAGAGAAAGAGAGAGTGAGGAAGGGGCTCGAAAGCCTCCTGGCGACGACAATGGAAGGAAACGGGACGTTTACTGTAAACCGTGCTGAAAGTGAAACGCGCCCCCCCCCCCCCCCACACACACGGTTTACTGCAGTTGCCGAGTCCGAATTAAATGGGTTCCTTTAAAAAAAAAGTCGTAGAGGAAGTGCGTGCGTGCGTGCGCCTGTGCGCGCGTGCGTGTGGGCGCGTTATTTTTTTCTCTCTTCTGCGCGAATGCATGCAAGCGTACGTGTGCGTGCTTGTGCGCTGGCCCAACCGTGTGCGTGTGGGTGGGTGTGTGTGTGCGTTGCCTGTTTGTGTGCTCACGTGTGTGTGTGCGCACGTGCGGTAGTGGGGGACGGTGGAGCAGTGGTTCGGACACTGCACTACGAACCCGGCAAAACTAATATCAATTCTCGCTCAAAAAAACAATAACGGTGGTAAACATTTTTAACCGGTTCTGGGCCTCTCCTTGGTCAACTCAACCTTAAGAGTTGCAGCTGTGTGAAAACATCGCACTGGGGAGATAAAGGTGGCCGTGAGTGATATTGGCCACACCACCCCATCGTGTGCCGTGCCGTGGTGATCGCTAACAGCACTTGCCCGAACAGTGTGCCAAAGGCTATACAGGGGATCGTTGTCTTTATTGCATGCATGCGTATGTGGGTTTGCCTTTGCGTAACCACGTGTGCATATGTGCGCGTCCATGCATGGCGTACACAGTTCGGGTGAACTCGTTCTTCATCTGAAAGAGCGAGGGGAGAGCGAGGGGAGAGCGTCCGAGAATGAATGAGCGTGTGTGCAATTGTGCCAGGGCTAAGCGCCAGCTCTCCATTGTAATGTTTAAAAAAAAAAACACCCAAAGCTCGCGGGATTAGAGTCAAATTCCGCACAAAAGCATTTGGGGGAATCGCACAATCGGCCACAGTAGTGGCGGACACCGAAGGGGGAGGGGGGCGGGACAGTTGGGCGGGACAGTTGCCCGCGACCCCCCCCCCCCACCCCCAGCGCAGTGCCCCCACCACTGCCATTCACTCGGAGTCGCTCTCTGCCCGGCGCTCGCAAAAGATCAACGTTCACCTCACTGACTGGCCGCGGAATCTGTCCGTGCCCCTCCGTGCCCACGCCTGCCCCCCCCCCCATCCCACACTAGACTGCCCCCCCCTTTCCCGTGCCCCCCACCTATCCCGTGCTCCCCACCTATCCCGTGTCCCCCATATGCCAGCCATCCTTGCCCGCAGTGCAGTGGCACCGCACGTGAATTGATCTGTCTGAAGTTTTGAGTGTTATTCTACAGACAAGATCTGCAAATTCAAATCCCAGTCTGGGTCAACAAAGCGTCATCATCATCATCATCATCGCCATCGTTATCATTATCGTCACCGCCATTGCGATGGAAGACTAGCAATGTATTCTCGAATCGAATCCACCTGTGCGGAGCTTGGAGTGTTACCCTTCCACACAAATGCGTGGTGGGGTTTTCTCCGGCTTCTCCGCACCTCCTCGCACACAAAGCGCTCCAACACTCATCCATAAACAAAGGAGCGGTCTCGGCATTCACTGCTGTTACGAGCAAAAGGACCGGTTTCAACATTCTGGGTCTCGTCAGCAAAGGGCCAGGCCTGTGAAGCCACTGCCGTTATGTAGTCCAGATGTTAGAGGGCAGTCTAGGCTAAGGGGGGGGGGGGGGGGGGGGGAACCGTGGGCTCCGTTATCGCCCGGTCCCAACGCCGTCAGAGCCGCCCCCGACACGACCTTATCGGCAGGAAGCACACGGACTCCACTTGTGCGCAGTTCAGGAAACAGCTTCGCGTTGCACAAGGAGCGAGCGCGCGCCACCGCTCGCTCCGCGCGCCCGCAACGACCCGGCGTCACGACCCCCGGCTCTCGGAGCGGCATGCGCGGGGACGATCGCTTCGCCGCCGTGCCGCCTGGCGTTTTTGCCGGCGTGCAGGAACGTCGCCCGTCGCGCCTACACCGTGGCATCCGGCACCGTTGCCGGTGAAGTGCCCAAACGAAGCGAGTGTGTCCAGGGCTCACGCCCGTTCTGGGGCACCGGCTGAGAACTCGTGCGTGACCTTTGCAAGGGCGACCCGGGGGCCAACGAAATGACAAAAAGCGAAAGGAATTAACTAAATTAAAAAGTAACAGCCCATGAAGCAAATAAGAAATCCCGAGTCGTCCGATGATGACTCGAAAACATTGAACAAGCGAGGGAGTTTTTTTTTTTTATCGGTGTGTGCGTGCGCGCGCGCGTTCTTGCAGATGACCTACCACGACACAGATCACGAACGTGGGACACACAACGGAACACGATGGAGCGGGTGGACGTGAAAAGCAGGGGGAGGGGGTAGGGGACAGCCGTGCAACTGAGACGTTCCGTCTCGAGGCATCTTCCAGACGAAACGATAGAATTAATAAACAACAACAACAACAAATAAGAGCTCTGAAGCGCGCAAGGAAGCACGGGGAGAGATGCACGCGAGGGATTGCGCCGGGAGACCGAGAGAGGAGCGGGCAGATTACAGAACGCGCCCGCGTTACATCCATAACTGTCGCCGTTCAGAGACGCAAGCGGCTCACGTGCCGGGGAGCGTGCCGCGAGAAGGGATGGAGGCCGCTGGGCGAGGCCCGGCGTCGGAGCAGCAGCCAAACCGGGGGAATGTTCCGGGGAGCACGGCAACCGCCGCAACCGCCGCAACCGCCACAACCGCCGCAACCACCACAACCGCCACAACCGCCGTAACCACCACAACCGCCGCAACCACCTCAACCGCCGCAACCACCACAACCGCCGCAACCACCACAACAACCGCCGCAACCACTGCAACCGCCGCAACCGCCGCAACTGCCAACACCACCAACACCACCAACACCACCACAACAGCAGCAGAGACGGAGCGGTCTGTAGCTGGGGCCCGGCTGCATCGCAACGGCAGCAGCAGCGCGAGAGGTGGCGGTGGCTTGGGAAAGCTTTCATCCAGCAGTGGATTGGGAGGGAGGAAGGGAGGGAGGCTGTGACTTGTAAACAAGCCGTTTTGCCAGGAAATGCAGAATTTATCTCGGTGTGATCTCAAGCTGATCAATAGGGTGGCGGCCCTTGCAGCGACACGAAAAACAAGCACAAATAATAAGCACACAAATAACCGACTACAGGGGGCCGCATACTGCCGCTACCGCTCATCAGCACACGCACGCCTAGCCTCCCCTGGGCACCTCTAACTTTGGACTGCGAACATCTGTGTTGTTGGTCCTAACTCGGTAAGCGTGGATCGTTGGGCCAACAAAATTGATTCGACATTGGTGTATTTATTAGGAAGGCGGTGATGGATATTCCACCTTCATTTCAATGGCGGGCCCCCAAGTCTGTCCAGAGTCAAAACAAACACAATAACGGTTTGTCTTACACCAACTAGTCTGGCTTATGATACACGGGTAATAATAACCATTCCCTATATTTACCTAGCTAGGAGAGAGCCTCACCGAGTCTCAGGACCTCTTTTTGCAGGAGGGTCCTGCTACAGTTGGACGTTTTGGCTCTTTCCAGTCACGACTTCTGGTGGGGAGGGAACTGGAGAACGTGGAGAAAACCCACGACCAAGCAAACTTCCTGGCAAAACTCTCAAACAGCCGCACAGATGGATCCAACAATCCAATTGTGGACTGCCATTTCCTGAAGGCGGTGGCTC